CCAACATTTTTGAGAAGTAGAATACTCTCCCCGAGTCACTCTCCCCGATGTCGAGGAGATACCTGTTGGGGAACCCATTTTCTCTTTTCTGGGACTCATGGCTCTCCTCAGGGGGATATGCCTTTACAGTATGTTCGTTCGGCTCCTCAAAATTGGGTCATTATTTACTGATTCCCATAAACGTAAAATCGAGAGTTAGGGGTTCTAAGGAGTTGGCTATGGTCGTAGGACCTACAACAGGACAAATAAACTCAGGGAATTGCCAAATGAGACTGCCATTTTGGAGTGGCTGTTGGGGAGTTTTGTGTGCACATGACGAGCAAGCAAAGAAAAGTAGGAGTGTGTAGCAGAGAGGCTTTCCTTGACTCTCTTGTCAAAACCTTTAAGCCCTCAACCCCAGTCCCTTCTCTCCATCCCATCTTCTCTATCCCTTAACCACTTTTTTTTTTTCCCTCTTCTACTTCATATTACTTGTTTGCTTGCTTCTGTCTCCCTGTTCCATTCCCTAGCACGGCACAAAAACACCACCCCAAAACCTGAGAGCTTTGAAACAATAACAGTCATCTAGTTTGCGCACAAATATGCAACTTTGGCAGGCATGACTCTGCTCCCTGTGTTTGGGGCCTCAGTTTGAGATTGAAGCAGCTAGGGACTAGCTATGCATCTCCCTTTCTATGCATCTTTCTCCACAAAGCCTTGGACTTCCTCACAACATGGCAGCCTCAAAGTAATCAGCCTTCTTCCATGGTATCTCAAGTCTCCCAGACAGGGTTCCCAGAGACCCAAATGGAAGCGGTAAAGTTTCTCCTGACCTAGTCTCAGAATTCCCTGAACACCACTTGTGCCACATTCGGTTGGTCAAGCAAGTCACTACATTCCAGTTTCCAGGGGAAGAAATAGACCCACCTCTCCATGGACAGAGTAGCAGAGATAGGAAAGTTACCGGTTTACAGTCTAAAAAATTGTGTCCGCCTCACCATCTAAAGGCAAAATTCTCACCTGGGTGGCTCAGTCGGTTTAACTTCTGACTCCTGATCTCAGCTCAGGTCTTGATCTGAGGGCCATGAGTTAAAGCCCAGTGTTAGGCTCCACACTGGGCATGGAGCCTACTAAAAAAGAGAGAGAGACAGAGAGAGAGAGAGAGAGAGAGGAAGTTGAACAGATTAAATGGAATGTTTTGGCAATTGTGAATAGACTAGAAAACATAATAGTATACCTACGTGTTTTCAAGTGTTTTAAAATACTTTCCCTTTTAGCAGCATTATGTACTTGACCACTGCATGATTTGCTCAGTGGATGAAGTTTGCACTTTGTCCTGGTTTTCTGTCTTCGAGGTTAGACTTTCTTTCTTTGACTGTTATTTTCCTTTAGGGTGTTTTGGTTTGTTGTTGTTGTTGTTTAAAGAGGCAGCGATGGGCAGAGGGAGAGGTAGAGAGAGAGAATCTAAAGCAGGCTCCATGCCCAGGGCAAGCCAGACTTGGGGCTAGATCCCACCACCCTGAGATCATGACCCGAGCCAAAATCAAGAGTCAGCCGCTTAACCCACTGACCCAGGCGCCCCTCCTTTAGGTTTTACTAGGCTCATTTGTGTATGTTGAAGAAGTTCATATATTGAAGTAGTTTATGACAGGCTTACTCAGGAAGATACCATGAAAAAATGATCCTTGTTAAGTTGGTAGGGGGGAAATCCTATACTTAAGCGCTTAAGTGGGGGAAGTGTAACTGGACCCACGTCCATCTCTGCCTGATGCATACAAAGCCAATCACTGAGACATCAGGTGTGCTGTAAGGAAAGGGGCTTATTTGAGAGGCAGCCAAAGGAGGAGATTGGAGAGCAAGCCACAAATCCGCTTCCCTGAAGGGGGAGAGAACAAGTTTTTTATAATCATAGGGGCTGCATTACATACATATTGATGAAAAGAGCAGAGAAACTTATGACTATGCAAGAGGAAAGATGGAGCATGCGCCTTTAGGAAGTGTATATGTAACATACTCCCCATGTCCACTTTGCGTGGAGACTTACCATCAGAAAAAAAGCAAACTTCAGCCCCTCACGTCAGGAGGTTTCTCAGGATATGGAGAAGGGACTCTGGGCATGCTCCAAGACTGGATGGGGTCTTGGGTTGGTTACCTTGGGTTAGCAATACAGGTCAGAGGCTAGAGAACCATATTAGTTGACCTTGAATCCAGGCTTCTGCAGAGACAGCTAGTAGATTTGTTCGTGGGGTTAGAGGGAGAAACTGTTCCCTGATAAACAAGCTTTAAATTTTCTGCTAGCTTCAACCTCATGAATCGTATAGGACAGGTTTTCAGGAGGGGGAAATGTCCTCATAATAATCTCTCCAGTGTGGATGAGCTAGCTAAAACAAAATAGACGGAAACTTCCTTTTCGCTTAAGGGAAGGTGGTGGGGTCACTGTCTAGTTGGGCCCTCGATTGCCCAGAGCTGGGAGACCAGGCTTCTCGGGTCTCCCCTGCAGGTCCCGACACCCTCGCCGCCCGCCCGGCGCCCCGCGTCCCTGCCCCCCAGGCATCCGCGGTCTCCGCGAGGACTGGGACGGCCGGCGTCCCAGAGCGGGAGACGGGGCTCGGGGGACGTCACGACGAGGGCGTGGCGTATGCAGAGGAGCAGGCGCGCAGAGGCTGCCGGGCCCGCCCCGCCCGGGCGCGCGGGTGCCGCGTGGGGCCAGGCGAAGGCGCTCGCGGGGTTGTGCGGGCGAGCGAGGTGGCGGCGGGGCTGGTGCGGGGCGCGGGGGTCGCGGGGGCGGCGGGAGGGAAGTGACCGTGTGTAAGGAGCGCGGCGAGCGCGAGCGCGAGCGGCGAGGCAGGGCTGGCAAAGCATACTTACCTGGCAGGGGAGATACCATGATCACGAAGGTGGTTTTCCCAGGGCGAGGCTTATCCATTGCACTCCGGATGTGCTGACCCCTGCGATTTCCCCAAATGTGGGAAACTCGACTGCATAATTTGTGGTAGTGGGGGACTGCGTTCGCGCTTTCCCCTGGTTTTTGTAGTTGAACAACAGTCTTTTCAGCTTTCGCGGTTTTCTTCAAATGTGTTTTTTTTAAGTTTTTGGTATGTGTTTGCCATTATTTGCTCTTATTTTGAATGGGAGCTGTTTACGTAGTTTCATGATGCTTACATAACGCCCTGGTGGCGGTTAGAAATCTTGGTGCTTTTTTTTTTGTAAAACCTGTAAGTTTATAGTTTTTTACAGGTAAAAATATATTATGGTGTTGAAAACACGTGTTTGTTGAGTGGGTGGTAAGTAACCGTGTTCAGTGTTCAGGTTGTTCCGTGCTTAAATGGAACATGAAAAATAGTTTGTTTGGCTGGATGGTTTTAGTGCCTTGAACCACTCCTCCGATTCCCCCGCTCCCCCCCCCGTTTTTTTTTGTCTTACTTTATTTTTTCAAAGTGATCAGTTTGAGCTCAACTTCTGTAGTTTTGCTACAGTACATTAATATTATATAAGCTTTTCCAAACTAGGTGCAGACATTTTACCCAGCCTATGAAGCTATTGATCTGACCCTTTTTTCCCTTTCCTTTCAAAATTTTAATTCAATTAACATATAATGCATTATTGGTTTCAGAGGTACAGGTCTGTGCTTCATCAGTCTTAATACCCACTGCTCATGACATCACATGCTCTCCTTAATGTCCAACCTCCAGTTACCCCATTCATCAATCTCCCTCCCCTACAGCAACCCTGTTTGCTTCCTATGATTAAGAGTCTAATGGTTTGTCTCCCTCTCTGGTTTAGTTTTCTTTTTTCCTCTCTTCCCCTATGACCCTGTTTTCTTAAATTCCATATATCAGTGAGATCATGTAATTGTCTTTCTGATTGACTTATTTCACTAAGCATAAAACCCTCTAGTTCCATCCATGTCCTTGCAAATGGCAAGATTTCATCTTTTTGATGGCTGCGTAATACTCCTTGTATATATACACTTCTTTATCCATTCATCTGTCAATGGACATCGGGGCTCTTTCCATAGTTTGGCTATTGTGGACATTGCTCCTAGAAACACTGGGGTGCAGGTGCCCCTTCCCATCACTACATTCGTATCTTTGGGGTAAATACCTAGTAGTGCAATTGCTGTGACCCACTTTCTTCTGCAATTTCCTTTCTTGCCATCTTCCACCCTCACCACATAAAACCCACAACCTTCATTCCCCTGGTTCCCACCCCACTGTTCACACCCTGGGTCATTCTCACTGCCTAGGTCGCTTTCTTCCTGTCAGAGCATAGTGTCCCCTGTAGGAAACCCTATAGCAGGGCTTTGTCTCTGCTCCCAGGTGTCCTCCTGTTTCTCCTTTGTGCCCCCAGGCATACGACAGCCAATAAATGTTAAATGAATGCCACAGCTCAAGAGCAGTGAAACCAAGGCTGGCTGGTTTTTTGTTTTGTTGTTTTTTTTTTTAATCAGGAACTAGCAGTGAACTATGGAGTATTTCAATTGTTCTGGAGGTACGAAGTAGAATCTCTCCTGAAGTAGGTCCTTGAGGGAATAATATACGTTCTTTATCTTAGTGTTTTATGAGAAGGCCCTTGCATAGTGTAGTCAACTCATTTATAGGTGTATTTATTAAGCACCCTCCCACACATGCTCTAATATGTAACTGCTGCTTCCAGTCTACCCCCGCCCACACACACACTGTAAAAATGTAAACCAGGGACCAAGGGATCTACGAAGCACTCTCCTACCCCTTTCCCCAAAAAGACCTTTTTGGTACAGATTAGCTGATGGCTATGTGGAACATTGTATATAGCTTTCTGCCCTGTACTTGCTATTTTGATTTTTTTAAAAAAAGACTTTGAGAGAGCAAGCGAGCATGAGCAGGGGGTGGGGAGAGGGAGAAGAAGCAGGCTCCCCCGTTGAGCAGAGGGATCCAGGACCCTGGATCATGACCTGAGCTGAAGGCAGATGCTCAACCAACTGAGCCACCCAGGCGCCCTGTGTACTCACTATTTCTTAGCATTTACACAGCATCTTCACATTTCCAAAGCACTGTACCAATGTTTATTAATCCTCACAACACCCCTGTGAGGTAGGTCAATATGTCCTTTGTAGTAGAGAAACTGAGGCAGAGAGAGGTCAAGCGAACCTGCCTGAGGCCACAAGGGCAGTCAGCGAAGGGACTGCACCAGAATCCAGAAGCTAGGGCTCTCTGGCCCAATGTTCACCCACTGGAGAGCATCGCACGGGCATATTTTCACCAGGGAAGGAGACATGAAGGAGGACAAAACACAGAGATTTCTCAGGCAACAGAAAAATCAAGTTCAAATGGCATCAGGGAACAACATCAGTGAAAGAACATTAACCAGCACACCAGTAAGGCAAGAGAACATGCAAGGCCGGAATCATGGTGACTACCCTTAAGACCTAAACCAGGGTTTGGGAAAATTTAAACGAGGGGTGACCAACCCAAATGCTTGTGGTTTCCAACTGGAAGAGAAGTTAGTGAAAAAAATCAAACCACACAACCTAATTTTAAATTAGAAGTGACTTGATGTTAATTTACATTAAGAAGACCAGTAATATTTGGAATTGACTACTGACAATTAGTATCCTTTTTGGACCCTTTTTAGTCCAAATATTCCAATTTTTCCCCCACCAACAAATGCTGTTCCCTATATACTCTTTCTCTCTACATACCAATTTATACACTAGTGTAACGATCAAGTGGGCTCAATGGCACGTCTCACGGTTCCTTGGCTGAGCCAGAGATAGAATTCAGGAAACCATAACAGACTGTTCTGTCTGCTCCTGTGTTTTAGAAATGGCTGTTTCTAACTTGCCTCTGCTCAATTCCACCTTCTATAAAAGGCTAAAAGCACACAGAGAAGCAGTTCATCCTTTTGTAAAGGGACTGGTGAACTTCATTCAATATGCCATTTAAAAAAAGAAAAAGGAAAAACTAAGACCTGCACTGTAAAGCAGAATAAAGGAGTAGATTTATTATAGCTACTCCAAATTTTAGAGTGATACAATGACCACAGAGTTAAAAACTATCACTGTTATCACTTTATTTGATAATAGTTGGTTTAGTCTACAAGTTTAAGGCAAACATACTAATGCATTTGCTTTTCATCAGAAATCATACTTACAAAGATTACATAAAATCTGTCCCAAAACTTCTAAGAAATGTTCATTAATTAAAAATAAGTCCGATTAAGATGCTTTACCAGGATACATGAATGAACTAAGGTGGTATACAATGTTTTTTAAAAACAAAATTCAAAAAAAGGTAAGGGCAATCTTTATCTTGTTTGAACAGTGTGTTTTTAAAAGGGTTAAACTTCAGAGAGTACTTAAAAGTAAGACTGGCAGCCAGAAGGAATACTATTCATAAAATAAACACAGTTACAGAGGCTACTTAAAACAAGCCTGAACTTGGGGCTTCAGGAGAGGAGGCACGCACGGCGAGGGCCGACGGCCAAAGGGGCGCACAGGTGCGGGGGCGCGGCGTCCCACCACGCACGCTGGCAGAGCCCAGGGACAGCGCCGCTCCGTGGTTTCTCGGAAAAAAGGAGAGTAGATGCACTTTGACGGCTGTTTCTTTTGTTTCCAGTGAGCAGTAAATGCTTAATACCATTAAGAAAACAAAAATAAAATCTGAAGGAAGGCAGCCCTTTTTAACTGTAGGTGGAGTGTGGCTTATGTGTCTCCGTTGAACACCGCCAAGCAGTTCTGCAGCAACTGTAGGTTACCCTAAAAAGAAAGGGAGAATAAACGGTGACGCTCAGAGAGCTTGGAAGAACTGTACTGAAAATATACAGCACTAGAAAGCACGTAACTTTAAATTTATTAAGACAACAGAATTTGGGTTAACAGCTACTCATTATACAGAAATAACTGTTTAGAGACAAAATTATATACTTTGTTTCATGTACAATATTTTCCACATATCAGATTCTTCAGGAAATTTCCACCTAGACCACTAATTACTGTTTGGAATTACCTGGCATGATCTAATGAGAGAGAAAATATGCTCTTTGTGTCCAAGTTAAACTACTGAACATTTTTTTTTAAAGATTTATTTATTTTGAGAGAGTGAGAGAGCAGGGGGAGAGGGAGAGAGAATATCAAGCACACTCCCCGCTGAGTGCAGAGCCCCACACGGGGCTCAATCCCATGACCTGAGATCATAACCTGAGCCAAAATCAAGAGCCAGACGTTCAACCCACTGAGCCACCCAGGGGCCCCTGAACATTTCTGACTGTAAGCCATTAAAATATGTGTATTATATTACATGATTATATAATATATAACATATATAATGTATATTTTAATGATTAAAGTGATACGTTATAGCAATTTTTATAAAAATAGTAATAAGAGGGGCACCTGGGTGGCTCAGTTAAGTGACCAACTCCTGATTTCGGCTCAGGTCGTGATCTCACGATTATGAGATCAAGCCCCGCATCAGGCTCATGCTGGGTGGGGAGTCGGCTTGAGATTCTCGCTCTTCCTTTCCCTCTGCCCTTCCCCACCTTCATGATCTCTCTCTCTCTCAAAAAAAAAAAAAAAAAAAAAGGTAAGTAATAAGATCACATACAAAAGTATTCTATAAAATGCAGACCTGGGGGTGCCTGGGTAGCTCAGTCGGTTAAGCGGCTGCCTTCAGCTCAGGTCATGATCCCAGGGTCCTGGGATCGAGCCCCGCATTGGGCTCCCTGCTCAGTGGAGAGCCTGCTTCTCCCTCTCCCTGCCGCTCTGTCTACTTGTGCTATCTCTCTGTCAAATAAATAAATAAATAAAAATCTTAAAAAAAAATAAAATGCAGACCTGTGTAGCCATCTGTAAAACATGTGAACTGGCCTCCAAATTCAGATGTGTAAAGACAAATATAAGCATATAGGTCACAACTATTTATTTATTAAGATTTTATTTCTTTATTTGACAGAGAGAGACACAGCGAGAGAGGGAACACAAGCAGGAGGAGTGGGAGAGGGAGAAGCAGGCTTCTGGCCGAGCAGGGAGCCCGATGCAGAGCTCGATCCCAGGACCCCGGGACCGTGACCTGAGCCGAAGGCAGATGCTTAAACAACCGAGCCACCCAGGCACCCCGGTTACAACGATTTATAAATGGGGGTGAAGGAAAACTTCTTCCTTAGAGTAGAAAGCCAACTAAAATGTATACAATGATGGAATTAGAAAATGACCATTTGGCAACCATCACAATAACTGACTCAGGAAGTCATAACTGGATGCTAAAAACAATATAATGCTGAAATGCTAATACTGTGGTCATTAGGTACATGCAGCTACAGAACATTTAAATTTCTGTTAATTGAAATTAAATAAAAACTCGGTTTGAGTTTCTCGGTTGCACTACCCACATTTCAAGTGTTTGGCAGCCACATGTGGCTAGTGACCACCATACTGGACAGTGCTGATTATAGAGTATTTCCATTATCACATAAAATTCTGTGGGACAATGCTGGTTAAGTGCTGGGTATTTAATTGACATAGTCCCAAGTATCTCCCCACAGAATACTTAATTTCAAAGTGTAAAATAATAACTTTGCCACTGAGAAACCTGTAGACATCACTTTATTTTTTCTCTAAAGATTTTATTTATTTGACAGAGAGAGACACAGCAAGAGAGGGAACATAAGCAGGGGGAGTGGAAGAGGGAGAAGCAGGCTTCCCGCCGAGCAGGGAGCCTGATGCGGGGCTCGATCCCAGAACCCTGGGATCATGACCCGAGCCGAAGGCAGACGCCCAACTACCGAGCCACCCAGGCGCCCCCGAAGACATCACTTTAACCAAATGATCAAGATCATACACTGCCAGTAAGGCAGCTAATCAACAGCATGTGTCTCTTGATCTGACGTAATAAGGAGGTCTGAGCAACACTTTTGTGGTATTCTTGCCACAAGTGGAGAATCTAAACTCAATAATTAGACAAACCCAAATTGAGGGAGATTTTACAGACCTGTGCTTTTTAATAGTGTCCAATGTTATGAAATATGAAGATTCAGGAACTTTCCAGATTCAGGAAGTCTAAAAAGACGTGGCGGGGGGCAGTCAGGCTGGCTTAGTCAGTAGAGCATGTGACTTTTTTTAACCTTTTTTAAAAAAGATTTTATTCATTTATTTGACACAGAAAGAGAGAGAGAGAGAGAGAGATCACACGTACAAGCAGGGGGAGGGGCAGGCAGAGGGAGACGCAGGCTCCCTGACACTGACGATCCCAGGGTCCTGGGATCATGACCTGAGCTGAAGGCAGACGCTTAACCTACTGAGCCACTCAGGCGCCCTGTCTGTATTTGTGAAATTATCTTCTTACAGGTATATTCCTCAAGTGGGACTAAGTCGAAAGACACACATCCTTCATTTGATATACTGCCAATGCTCTCCAGAAGGGTGTGCACGAACCCACACCCGCCAACAGGGCATGAGGACTCCACACCCTCATAGACAGTATCATCACTTCCTTTTTTTGCATTTGATACATTTGACACTTTATTAATAAGGTATCTGAGACTAATTTCAAGGACACAAAAGTGACCTAACTACCTAATTTTCTGTTATAACCAGATTTCAATTACATGGCAAGACATACCCTAGTTGTAATAAATGAAATCCAAAATAGTTTCAAATCATCTGGCTCTAAGTTTAACTAATGTCTAATCTTTTTAGAATATTTCATATGGATTCCTGGGACTAACATGGGACTTTGTTCAGATTTACAAAATCATCAAGAAGAAACCTGACACAAGAGAGCAGGGTTTCTCAACCTTGGCACTTTTTTTTTTTTTTTTTTAAGATTTTATATTTAAGTAATCTCTACACCCAATGTGGGGCTCAAACCTAAACCCTGAGATCAAGAGTTGCATGCTCCACCGACTGAGCCAGCCAGGCGCCCCTTAATCTCGGCACTCCTGACATATTTTGGGCTCTGTAATTCTTTCTTATGGGGGCTGTCCGATGCACTGTAGAAAGTTTAGCAGCATCCCTGACCTCTACGCACTACATACCAGTAGTATCCCACCCACCCTTAGTTTTGACTACCTAAGTGGGTAGAGACATTTCTACCCAAGAAATGTCTCCAGAAATTGCTGTCTCCCAGGAGGCAAAACTGCCTCTAGTTGAGAGCCACTGGACTAGAAGACCTATCAGAAATTTCAAGACAGGGAACACTTTTCAGAAAGGATTTGAAAAGTACAATATCTGGAAGTCAGAGGCTGATATGAATCTATGTAGTAGGGGTCAGCAAACTTTTTCTGTAAAGGACTAAATATGTAGTAAACATTTTAGACTTTAGGGGCGCCTGGGTGGCTCAGTCGTTAAGCATCTGCCTTCGGCTCAGGTCATGACCCCAGGGTCCTGGGATCGAGCCTCGTGTTAGGCTCCCTGCTCAGTGGGGAGCCTGCTTCTCTCTCTCTCCCTCATTCTCTCTCTCAAATAAATAAAATCTTAAGAAAAAAAAAGTTTTTAGATTTCGAGAGACATTTCATCTCTGTTTTAACTACTCAACTTTGCTATAGTAGTATGAAAGCAATCACAGACAAAGCATAAATGAATGAGCTTCGGTGTATCCTAATAAAACTTTATTTATAGATTAAATATAAATTTTGTAAAATTATCACATCATGATATTCTTTTGCCTTTTTTTTTTTTTTAAGATTTTATTTGTCAAAGAGAGCACAAGCAGGGGGAGCAGCAAGCAGAGGGAGAGGAGAAGCAGGCTACTTGCTGAGCAGGGAGCCCGATGCGGAGCTCGATCCCAGGACCCTGGGATCATGACCTGAGCCAAAGGCAGACTCTTAACCAACTGGGCCACCTAGGCATCCCTCTTTTGCCTTTTTTTTTTTTTTTTTTTTAATTTGACAGAGAGACACAGAGAGAGAGGGAACACAAGCAGGGGGAGTGGGAGAGGGAGAAGCAGACTTCCTGCTGAGCAGGGAGCCCGATGCGGGGCTCGATCCCAGGACCCTGGGACCATGACCTGAGCCGAAGGCAGACGCTCAACGACTGAGGCACCCAGGCACCCCTATATTTATTCTTTTTAAAGAGGTTATAAACTATCAAGGATTTTGTTAATAAATTAAAGAGAGGCTGGCAAATTACAGCCTATTTTTGTATAGTCTCTGAGCCAGGAATGGCGTTCATATTTTTAAATGGTTATTTTTACTCCTTTATTTTATTTTACTAGTTTACCACTCCCCCTGCTTGTGTTCCCTCTCTCGCTGTGTCTCTCTCTGTCAAATAAATAAATAAAATCTTAAAAAAAACCACAAAAAACAAATACAGTGAACATTAGAAACCAACACAGGTGCAATAAGAATAAATCATGCCAGCTTTATCAAAACATTTTCTTTTGAGAGGGTTATTCGACCAGGAAATCATAACATGTATCTTGATTTTAGTGAGGAATTTGATACTTATATCCATCATGGATAAAGTGGAGAAAAAATGGTTGATGACAGTATAAGTAGGTGAATTCATAACTATCCAAATAACTACAAACAAATAATATTAATTAATAAGTTATTATCAGTTAGTATAGAAAGAAAGGAAGGGAACTAAAATTTAGCCTTTTTTGGGTTCTATGTACTTTTACAATTAGATGAACAAATATTGATTCCTTTGGTCCTGATCGATCCCTCCCTCCCTCTCTCTCTCTCCTTTCTTTCTTTCTTCTTCCTTCCTTCCTCTCTCTCTCACTTTCTCTCTCTCTCACTCTCTTTCTTTCCTTCCTTTTTTTTCTTTCCCTCTCTCTCTCTCTCTTTTTTTAAGAAGGCTCCACACCCAGTGTGGAGCCCAATGCAAGGCTTGAACTCATGGCCCTGAGATCAAGATCTGAGCTGAGATCAGGAGTCTGACACTTCACCCACTGAGCCACCCAGGCATCCCCTGATCAATCTTTTAAATTAAAACTTAGATAAGGACATAAAAGGGAAGTTCATACAAATTACATATGTCTATCACTTTGGAGCAATAACCACTCTAATAGTCAAGTACTACTATATGATGAAATTAAAGTTTCCAAAGGATCTCATGCTAGGCTAAAACTAGCAAGCTAAAATTTAATAGACACAAATATGGTCTACAATTACATTTTAAAACTTAAATGCTCAATAAATGAAGAAGTTCTAGAAACTGTTGCACAACAATGTGAATATATTTACCACTGCTGAACTGCACACTTAAAAATGGTTAAGACGGTAAATTTTATGTGTTTTATACCACAAAAATGAAAAAGATTACTAAAAAAATGAAACACACAATTATAGGCTGGAGCTCAAGAAAAGACTTTGAAGAAGAAGAGAAGGTGTGACTATAGGCCAAAACAAGCTGGTACGAGATGGCACCTTAAACCCTTGTAAATACAAAGCACCCTGTAAGAAGAAATGTGCACAATAATCAGCCTGTGTACAGGGGCGCCTGGGTGGCTCAGTCGGTTAAGCGTCTGCCTTCGGCTCAGGTCATGATCTCAGGGTCCTGGGATCGAGCCCCGCGTTGGGTTCGCAGCTCAGTGGGGGAGCCGGCTTCTCCCTCTCCCTCTCCCTCTGCTTGCCGCTCTGCCTATCTGTGCTCTCTCTCTCTCTACGTCTCTGTCAAATAAATAAATAAAATCTTAAAAAAAAAAAAAAAAATCAGCCTGTGTACAGAAGTGTTTCCATTTCCAGGTGTAATATTTTAAAACAGCAATGACAGGAGGTCAATAATATAAAAAGCTTATTGAAATGTATAAGATAAAAAATATTTAGCCCAAGGATATCTAGCCTGGAGGAGACTATATATACAAATATAAACTATATAAATATTTGAGGGTAAACTGTAAGAGAACTTATCTTTCTTAATTTAGATGACAAAACTTTGACCAAAGTGTCAAAGTTACACAGAAGTAGATTTGTGTTCATTATGGGGTGCCCCAAAACTCTTAGTGCAGTTTTAAGCTTTTTAATGACTTTCAAAGTATAAATGCTATCAATATATCAAAAAATAAACACTTAAAGTTTATTTAAATTTCTTTAATACTTATAGTTTGGGGAATTTTGAATATGTTTTTAGTTTTTAGTCCCTCTGAAGACAGCATATGTTAAATAAATTTTTAAGTTTATTTTTTTTAAGGAATTATTTATTTATTTGAGAGAGAGAGCGAGAGAGTGGGGAGAGGGGCAGAGGGAGAGGAAGAAAGAATCTCAAGCAGACTCCGCACTGAGCCGAACTCAGGGCTCGATCCCACAAACCTGAGATCATGACCTGAGCCAAAACCAAGAGTTGGACACCCAACTGACTGCACCACCCAGGCGCCCCTAAATTTTTTTTTTTTTAAGATTTTATTTATTTATTTGACAGAGAGAGACACAGTGAGAGAGGGAACACAAGCAGGGGGGAGTGGGAGAGGGAGAAGCAGGCCTCCCACGGGGCAGGGAGCCCGATGCAGGGCTCGATCTCAGGACCGTGGGATCATGACCTGAGCCGAAGGCAGAGGCTTAATGACTGAGCCACCCAGGCGCCCTAAATTTTTTTTATTAATGAGAGATTTATTTTTTTTAGCTAGTCAAAAAATGATACTGGTTTCCATATTAGGTACTAAAGTCTTACAGAGCTGACCATTTAGAGAAACTGTAGATATTATTCTTGTTTGAATTAGATGATTTGTAAAATCCCTCTCAATTCTAAGATTTTCTAGTTTTAAAATTACAGTAAAGTTTGGGCCAACCTTTATCCTTTAAAAAAAAATAGAGATTTATTTATTTATTTTAGAGAGAGAGAGACAGAGAGAGAGAGAGGGAGAGAGAACACGAGCAAGAGGGAGAGAGAATCCCAAGTGGACTCCACGCTAAGCCAGGAGCCCAACGCAGGGCTCAATCTCCCAACGCCAAGATGACCACCTGAGCCAAAACCAAGAGCTGGATGCTCAACCAACTGAGCCAGCCAGGCATCCCCGAAGCTTTCTATTAACTACAAGAAAGGGCTTAATTTGAAGTAAATAAACACTATAAAACCCTGGAAGAAGGATGTTTATTTCCTAAAACCAAGTTATTTTGAAGCAGTAAAATAACCTTCAAAAATTATAATTCCAATTGTAATTAATTCTAATTCAGGAATACTTCTTACAGTACGCCTGTAGAAGGAAACTGTCATTAAAGAATTATTATCAATTCCATAATGGACTCATTTCTTTCTTTCCTTTTTTTTAAAAGTAATCTCTATGCCTAACATGGGGCTCAAACTCATGAACCTGAGATCAAGAGTGACCTACTCTCCCAACTGAGCCGGCCAAGTACCCCATAACGGACTCATTTCTAAATTATAAGTCACTTAAATTATTAAACCTTTAATATGACAATACCTTTGCATGCTTCAGTTCTAACTCTGCCAGTTCCACTAAATTTTTCCTGAATGCAGCAACTCTTCTTGTCTTAAAATCTATAAGTTCTGTGAACAAAAGAAATTAGGATTAACTATTTAATTTATATATTATAAAGTATACCTTATGATTAAAGGGTAAGGTAACAGTACCTTGTTTTGCAGACTCAGATATTTTTTCAAATTTCTGACAACATAATTGTTGGGATGTTTCAGCCTGCAGAACATCTTTATTTTTCGCTCTTGCTTTATCCAGTGCTTTATTAGCATTTTCATAATCCACTAGTGACCTAGATCTTCGATAGAGGAGATCCTATAAAAGAGAATGCTTCACAATAACATACGCTGCACGTTTCTAATAGTTACCCGCAACCACCACTACCCCATCACCCCCATCATCATTAGAGTGAACACTTAAACCATGAATACCACACATGCCAGCTACTTTCTAAATGGTTTTTGTAACAGCTTTAGTGAGATGAATTCACATACGTATAACTCAAAGTGCACAATTCAACGGTTTTTAGTGTGCTCGCACAATTGTATAACCATCACTACAATCAATTTTAAAACAATTTTGTCACCCAAAAGGAAACCCCATATTCATCAGCAGTCATTCTTCATGTCCTCTCCCCCGCCCCCTCCCCCCCACCTGCTTTCTGTCTCAACAGATTTGCTATTCTGGACATTTCATTAAAAAAAAAAAAATGGAGGGGTGCCTGGGGAGCTCAGTTGGTTAAGCGACTGCCTTCGGCTCAGGTCATGATCCTGGAGTCCCGGGATCGAGTCCCGCATCGGGCTCCCTGCTTGGCAGGGAGTCTGCTTCTCCCTCTGACCCTCCCCCCTCTCATGTGCTCTCTCTCAAATAAATGAATAAATAAAATCTTAAAAAAAAATGGAATCATATAATATGTGGTCTTTTCTGTCTGGCTTTCTTTACTTAGCATAAAATTTCAAGTTCATTCATGTTATTGTGTAAACCAGTACTTCATTCCTTTTATTTCTAAATATTTCATTGTATGGAAATACCACATTGATTTATCCACTTATCAGCTGACAGACATTTGGTTTGTTTCCACATTTTGCCTATTATGAATAATGCTATTATGAACATTTGTGTATAAGTTTTTGTGTGAACATGTTTTCCTTTCTCTTTCATATCTCATTACTTAGGAGTGGAATTGCTGGGTCACTTGGTAATTCTATGCTGAACCTTTTGAGAAACTGCCAGACTGTTTTCTAAAGCGGCTGCACCACTACATTTCCAATGACTCTGTATGAGGGCTCTAATTTCTCCCCATCCTTGGCAACACTTACCTGTCTTTTTGATTAAAGCCACCTAGTGGATGTGAAGTGGTATCTCACTGTGGTTTGGTTTTGTTTTTAACAATTTTATTTTTTAAGTAATCTCTATACCCAATGTGGGGCTGGAAATTACAACCCCAAGATCAAGAGTCGCGTGCTCTACCTACTGAGCCAGCCAGGCATCCCTTGCTGTGGTTCTGATTTGCATTTCCCTGATAGCTAATGTTGAGCATTTTTTTATGTATTCACTGGCCATTTGTATATTTTTGGACCTTTGGAGAAAGGTTTATTCAAGTCCTTTGCCCATTTTTTAGTTGGGCTATTTGTCTTTTTACTGAGTTATAAGAGTTCTTTATATTTTCTGGATACCATTTGCTTATTAGGGACTCGTATGATTTGCGAATATTTTGTCCCAGTCTATGGGTTGTCTTTCCACTTTTCTTCACAGTGTACTTTGACACACACAAGTTTTTACTTTTAATAAAGTCCGTCCAATTTATTATTTTTTCTTTGGTTGCTGTACTCCTGGTGTCATATCTGAGAAACCAATGTCCAATCAGAGGTCAAAAAGATTTACATTGTTTTTTTCTAAAAATGTTATAGTTGTTACATTTAGGTCTTTGATCAATTTTGAGCAAATTTTTATACACAGTATGAGGAAGGGGTCTAACTTTACTTCCATGGACTATTCAGATGACACAGTACCATTTGTTGAAAAGTCTATTCTTTTCCCCCCAAAACTGTCTTAGCACCTTATTAAGAATCAACTGACTAGGGGTGCTTGGGTGGCTCAGTCATTAAGTGTCTGCCTTTGGCTCAGGTCATGATCCCAGGGTTCTGGGATCAAGCCCCACATCGGGCTCCCTGCCCAGCGAGGAGCCTGCTTCTCCCTCTCCCACTCCCCCTGCTTGTGTTCCCTCTCTAGCTGTCTCTCTCTCTGTGTCAAGTAAATAAATAAAAAATCTTAAAAAAAAAAAAAGAAAAGAAAAAAGAATCAATTGACTGGGGCGCCTGGATGGCTCAGTTGGTTTGCCTTTGGCTCAGGTCATGATCCTAGGGTCCTGGGATCAAGCCCCACACAGGTCTCCCTGCTCAGCAGAGAGTCTGCTTCTTCCTCTCAGTCTGTCCCTCCCCCAGTTTGTGTTCACATATGCTCTCTCAAATAAATAAATAAAATATTAAAAAAAAGCAACCAATGTGAAAAGGCCCAACTATATGACATTCTGGAAAAGGCAAATCTATGGAGATGTCACACACACATACAAAATCAACAGGGCTTAAGGGGAAAGAGGATGAATGGTGGAGCACAGAGGAGTTTTGGGGCAGTGAAAACTATTCTGTATGATACTTATAATGGTAGATACGTATCATTACACATTTCTTCAAACAAAAAAACAATGTGTAACACTAAGAGTGAGCTCTTGTGTAGACTATGGTCTTTATTGTTTGGCTTCTTTCACTCAGCAAAATTATTTTGAGATTCTTCCATATTGTTGCATATTATCCATGGTTCATTCCTTTTTACCACTGAGTAGGATTCCACTGTATATATACACCACAATTCATCCATTCAGCTGCTGGTGGACATTTAGGTTGTTGCCAGTTTTCAACTATTACAAATAAAGCTGCTGTGAATATCCGTGGGGACACATGCTCTCAAATACCCAGGACTAGAATGAATGGACTACAGGATAGATGTATGTTTAATTTTTTAAGAAATTGTAAAACTTTTCCAAAATATTGTATCATATTCCAACTAACAGGGTGTGAAAGTTCTAGTTGCTATAATTTTTGTCAGAATTTTTCATTTTAGCCAAATTCTTGTTAAGGGGCGCCTGTGGTGAGGGGCGCCTGGGTGGCTCAGTTAGTTAAGGGGCCGACTCTCAATTTTGGCTTAGGTCATGATCTCAGGGTCCTGGGATCGAGCCCCCATGATGTGCTTCACGCTCACTGGGGAGTCTGCCTGAGGATTCTCTCTCTCACTGCCCCCTCCACATGTGCATATGCATGCTTTCTCTAAAATAAATTTAAAAATCTTTTTTTTTTTTAAGATTTTATTTATTTGAGAGAGAGAATGAGACAGAGAGAGAGAGCATGAGAGGGGGGAGGGTCAGAGGGAGAAGCAGACTCCCTGCTAAGCAGGGAGCCCGATGTGGGGGATCATGACCTGAGCCGAAGGCAGTTGCTTAACCAACTGAGCCACCCAGGCGCCCCTAAATAAATAAATCTTAAAAAAAGAAAAAAAAAGGTGTGTGGTGATATCTCATGAGTTTTCCCCCCCAGCTGTTTAATAAATATTGAGTATTTTTTAATTTTTTTTTTTTTTTAAGATTTTATTTATTTATTTGAGAGAGAGAGAATGAGAGACAGAGAGCATGAGAGGGAGGAGGGTCAGAGGGAGAAGCAGACTCCCTGCCGAGCAGGGAGCCCGATGTGGGACTCGATCCCGGGACTCCAGGATCATGACCTGAGCCGAAGGCAGTTGCTTAACCAACTGAGCCACCCAGGCGCCCCAATATTGAGTATTTTTTAAACAGCTATTTACTTATTTAATTACTCACCTACATTCAAGTATAGTTGGCTCCCAATATTACATTAGTTTCAGGTGTACAACAGTGATCTGACAGCTCTATGTTATGCTGTGCTCAGCACAAGTGTAGCTACCCTCTGACACCATACAACGCTATTACACTACCACTGATTCCTATATTCCCTCTGCTGCATATAGTTTTAATTTTTGCAATTAAATTTCAATTCCTTCTTGTGGTCACTAAGAAATATGGATTTACTTTTAAAGCCATGTTCTAAAAAGTTATGTATTAACAACTATAATATTATAATAAAATAATGAATTTAAGGTCTTTATACTGAATAATTCATTTTATCCCTGCCTACCCAATGTAAACGGTTTATAGGACACAACTGGATAAAATAATCTGATATGGATAGTATATTTACAAGTACCTAAGTCCTCAAAGTTAAAAAGGTTATTTATAATTTCTTTTAAGTTTATTTATTTATTTATCTCTTCACTCAACATAGGGATTGAACTCACAACCCCAAGATCAAGAATCAAATGCTCTTCCAACTGAGCCAGCCAGGCACCCCTATAATTTTTTTTAAGTAAGCTCTATGCCCAACATGGGGCTTGAACTCATGACCCCAAGATCAAGAGTTGCATGCTCTTATCAACTAAGCCAGCCAAGTGCCCCAAGGGTTATTTATGATTTGATAAGGAATGAAAAATTGGTGTTCAAAGCACCACTGATCACATGGGAATTTTCTGTACAATGTATCAATTCATAAATTAACACTGAATTTATAATACCTTTTTTTTTCCTTAAAGATTTTATTTATTTATTTGTCAGAGAGCAAGACAGTACAAGCAGGGGGAGCAGCAGAGGGAGAGGGAGAAGCAGGCTCCCCACCGAGCAGGGAGCCAGATGTGGGGCTTGATCCCAGTACCCCAGGATCATGACCTGAGCCAAATGAAGGCTTAACTGACTGAGCCACCCAGGTGCCCTGAATTTAGAATATCTGAGCCACTGAGTTTTTAGTGCCTTTTCAGATGTTTCTGTTAAACATTTTTTGGATTAGTAAGAGTTTTAGTCTTGCAGGTAGACAGACTTCCAAAAGGAAATTTGAGTTACCTTAAAATAAAACATATCCTGGTTTTACAGCTCTCTCACCCACAATAGAGGACTTAGGAATCCTTTAGCTACACCGACTGTTATTTGGGGTTTTACTTCTTGTTTTGTAGGCATTTTATCTGAATGAATATACCAAATTCATTAAAAAAAAAATAGTTCTAGATTATACTATATCAGAAGTTTATAGAGGAGGGGCGCCTGGGTGGCTCAGTTGTTAAGCATTTGCCTTCTGCTCAGGTCATGATCTCAGGGTTCTGGGATCGAGCCCCGCATCGGGCTCCCTGCTCAGCGGGTGGCCTGCTTCTCCACTCCGCCTGCTTGTGTTCCCTCTCTCGCTGTCTCTATCTCTGTCAAATAAATAAATAAAATCTTAAAAAAAAAAAAAAGTTTATAGAGGAAACTTTTATGTGGGGTTCCCTGACCAACAATCTGTAAAAGGAGAACAAAAAATTCACACGTGAAAATCTAATTTAAAATCAAGAGATAATCATTAACAATCTTAAGCCTAACAACCTCTAAAGAGATGGCTTTTTGTAAAATAGTCCATTTTAAAAAACAATGAACAATCAAATTACCTTAGCAGCTTGAGATTCCCTTAAGTAATATTTTAAAAGGTCGGAAAGTTTGAGGTCCTCATCAGCAGATACTCGTGCTTCTATTTTCTGAAAAAGGGGAAAAAAATCCGCCATTTAATTAGCACTTATATTCTACAGCCAATGTTTCTTTCATAATTACTGTAAAAAAAAAATTAAAGTTACAAATGACTACAGTATCCATTCCTATTTAATCTAATTTTCCTTGCCTTCTCCTTTCTACTAGCCTATTACTGTACTTCAGGACTTTGACCAAAAATGAACAGAAAAAAGAATGAAATCAAATGAGACTTAGTGAATTTATGGAAGGACTCTATGTTTGACTCAAGTTCTTGGCAATAATGAGTTTCAATATTATCTTTCAGCATCACTAACTACATGTACATTACTAATATACACTTATTACATCTCTTGTTACATCATTTCAATGACATGTACACATGATTTCAAAGTGATAAAGGATGGGGCTCAAGGGTGGCTCAGTCAGTTAAACATCCGACTCTTGATTTCGGCTCAGGTCATGATCTCAGGGTTGTGAGATGGAGCATGTGTTGGGTTCCACGCTGTGTGTGGAGCCTGCTTAAGATTCTCTCTCCCTCTCCCTCTCCCCTGAAATAAAAATAAAATGATAGGGCGCCTGGGTGGCTCAGTTGGTTAGGCGACTGCCTTCGGCTCAGGTCATGATCCTGGAGTCCCTGGATCGAGTCCCATATCGGGCTCCCTGCTCGGCGGGGAGTCTGCTTCTCCCTCTGACCCTCCCCCCTCTCATGTGCTCTCTCTCTCTCATTCTCTCTCTCAAATAAATAAAATCTTAAAAAATAAATAAATAAATAAATAAATAAATAAATAAATAAATAAATAAAAAAAATGATAAAGGCTAACAATGAAAGACTAGGTAATTCAAATCAATCTTCCTACTGATAACAACCAGAAAACGTAGTCAAAACATTAACAAAATGTGCCTGAAGACACAAAAGAGTAGTAAACAGATGTGGTTAGTTTGAGTTGGGATAAAATGGGAAGCAGCCATGTCAGACTAAAAAGATGAAACTATTCAATTCAGTTTGGAGAGACAGAAAATTAAAAAAGATGTATTATGTCAACCAAATACAATATAGGGACCTTGTTTGAATCCCAGCTCAAACGAACTCCACTGTAAAAAGCCATCTGAGGCAAATGGGAGCATCTATATACTCAATATTTGATGATTTAAGGGGAAATCATTGATAATTGTATTGATTATATTAAAATTTTTAAAAAGTGTTCATTTTTAAGATTTTATTTATTTGAGAGAGTGGTGGGGAGGGGCAGAGGGAGAGGGAGAAGCAGACTCCCTGCAGATCAAGGAGCCCAACGCAGGGCCTGATCCCTGGACCCTGAGATCACGAACCCGAGCCAAAGGCAGGTGCTCAAAGAGTCACCCAGGCACCCCATGACTATATTAAAATTAATTCTCATCTTTTTAAAAAAGAGATATGCACAAAGGGCAGAAAAAATGAATATGGACTTTTTGGGAAAAAGCACTTTAAGCAATGTAGAAAATGTTAACATTCAGGAAATCTGGATGACACATGTACAGGAATTCTTTGTACTATTCTTTTTTTAAAAAATATTTTATGTATTCATTTGAGAGAGAGAGAGAATGAGTGTAGGGGAAAGGCAGAGGGAGAGGGAGAAGCAGACTCCCCACTGAGTAGTGAGCCTGACGTGGAGCTCGATCCCAGGACCCTTGAGATCATGACCTGAGCCAAAGGCAGACGCTTAGCCATCTGAGCCACCCAGGCTCCCCTCTTTGTACTATTCTTGCAACTTTTCTGTAAGTCTGAAATTACTGTTGAAATAAAGTTAAAATTTAAAAACCCTGCACATCCAGCAGGATAACTAAAATAAAAAAGATAAGTATTATAAGCTTGTGTAGCAATCCAATGCTCACATTTATTGTGGTAGGAATGTAAATTGGTACAATCACTTTGGGAAACAGTTTGGCACTGTCTATGAAAGCTTTTCACATGGAGACCATATGACCCCTAATTCTCCCCCTGGTTATACACACCCAACAGAAATACATACTTATTTTCAGCTGAAGATATGCAAGAATGGTCTTAGAAGTACTATTTGTAAACAGCCACAAACTAGAAACTGTCCAAATGCCTACCAACAGTAGAACAGATGAATAAATTTACATATATTCTTGCAAAGGAAAGCTATATAGCAAGAAGAATGAAGGATCTATACAAACATGCAACATGGATGAACAGTATGGACGTAATGTTGAGTAAATGAAACCAGACATAAAAGCATACTGCATAAAACATTTATATAAAATATGAAAATAAAATTAATCTCTGCCGTTAGAAGCTAAGGTAGTGGTTACCCTTGTAGGAGGTGGTGACTCAGAAAGCAGGTGAAGAGGGGCAGGGCATCTGGGTTGCTGGTAAGAATTCTATATCTTTTTTTTTTTTTTTTTTAAAGATTTTATTTATTTGACAGAGAGAGACACAGTGAGAGAGGGAACACAAGCAGGGGGAGTGGGAGAGGGAGAAGCAGGCTTCCTGCCGAGCAGGGAGCCCGATGCGGGGCTCGATCCCAGGACCCCAGGATCATGACCTGAGCCGAAGGCAGCCGCTTAACGACTGAGCCACCCAGGCGCCCCTAAGAATTCTGTATCTTGATCTAGGTGTTCATTATATGAGTGTGTAAAATTTGTAAAATTTCACTGAGCTGTATACTTTTTTTTTTTTAAGATTTTATTTATTTGAGAGAGAGAGAGAGAGAGAGAGAACACAGAGGGAGAGGGAGAAGCAGACTACCCACTGAGCAGAGAGCCCGAAGCAGGACTCGATCCCAGGACCCTGAGATCATGACCTGAGCCGAAGGCAGACGCTTAACCGACTGAGCCACTCAGGTACCCGTGAGCTGTATACTTCTTTTTTTTTTTTAAAGATTTTATTTATTTATTTGAGAGAGAGAGACACAGCGAGAGAGGGAACACAAGCACGGGGAGCGGGAGAGGGAGAAGCAAGCTTCCCGCTGAGCTGGAAGCCCGATGCGGGGCTCGATCCCAGGACCCTGGGATCATGACCTGAGCCGAAGGCAGACGCTTAACGACTGAGCCACCCAGGCGCCCCTGAGCTGTATACTTCTGATATGTGCTCTTTCCTATATATATAATATGCTTCAATAAAAAAACTTGAAGCTTAAGAAATATTCCTTTATAAGAGAAATAAACTTAGGAAATTTCTTAATCTAACAGATAAATGCACAAAGTATATTCAAAACTGACTTAGATAAATTTAGATAAACTGATTTAGATAAATCTAGGGAACATGCTAGATGATGTTGGGTGCTTTTAAATATGCCTCCTCTCCTTCCATTAAGAAGTAGGGTAGGTCAGGGCGCCTGGGTGGCTCAGTCATTAAGCGTCTGCCTTCAGCTCAGGTCATGATCCCAGGGTCCTGGGATCGAGCCCCGCATGGATCTCCCTGCTCAGCAGGAAGCCTGCTTCTCCCTCTCCCACTCCCCCTGCTTGTGTTCCCTCTCTCGCTGTCGCTCTCTCTGTATCAAATAAATAAAATCTTAAAAAAAAAAAAGTAGGGTATGTATCCCCTCCCCTTGAATCTGGACCCTAAGACTGTATGACCAATACAGAAGTGATGCTGTGCCAGTTTCCAGGCCTTAATGAAACTAAAAATGTCTGCTTCCTATCTTTTGGGATGCTTCCTTTTGGAACCTAGCCAGCACATTGTGAGGAAGCCGAAGCAGCTCCCTGGAAAAGCAACATGCAGGTGTTATAGCCAACAGCCCTGGCTCAAGTCTCGGCTGATAGCCAGTATCATCCCCCAGACATCTGGAAGAGCCTTCATATGTTCCCCGTTGAGGCCCAGACATCATGGAGCAGAGGCAAGCCATCTCTGCCCTGTCTTTTCTGAATTCCTGACCTAAAGACTTCATTAGCATAATAAAATGGTTGTCGTTTTTAAGCTACTTATTTTAGGATGGTTTGTTATACAGCAAATAACCACAACACTACAAAAACACTGAAAGAAATAAAGATAGTCGTGGCAATGGCAATGTGCCACCTAGAGCTCCTTTAAGAGCAACTGCTTGCTGTAAGGAGCACATATGGTTCAGAGTCTTACTTGCAATCTCTCTAGATCCAGAACAATATTCATTCCAAGGTTATGCTGATCTTCCCATGCCTGCCTTGGCTGCACCCCATGACAGAGCATGGGGCAGCAGGGCCAGCCCCTCCTGCCTGACGCAGTGCTCCCTCTAATGAGCCACTCTGGCTGACCTACACAAAACTTCCTCGGAACTATGCTACAGGCTGAAACTCTTCCTACCCAGTACCCTCTTCCTCTGCCCTCTCCTTTCACAGGTATAGACCTGCACTATGGTCTAAAGCCTCTTCATGTCTATCCTACTCCTTCCTCTTTGTTCTTCCCAATGAATCTCTTGCATATCTGATTCCATTTTACATCTACTTGCACATCTTTTGACACATAAAGCTATTTTGTAATAAATCCCTGTTCTTTTGATGTAAACACATAGAAAAACAATGATATCTTCCCAGAAAATGCTCATTGGTACAAATACCAAAAGCAGAATAATGGACCCCAGTATACAACATTTATGTATTTAATGACTCTTTCCTTTGTGAGAAAATCTCTTTTCCTTTCCTTGTCTTCACTACACATTACTCAATTGACAAAGTCCTGTTGCAATCAGATTTCTACAATGGACTAGCCACCTCCACCCTCAGTTAAGTACCCTTAAACTTCTAATAAACTTTTCACTTTTCTATCAACTTTATTAAAGTGTTTAAATATTACCGCATCTAAGACTGATCCCTGAAAATCAAGACTATGTCAACATGAAATTATTACTATGATCACACCTTTCTGCAGTTGCATATCTGTCTCGTATTGATACAACTCATTTTTATTTTTAAAATTTTTTTTAAAGCTTTTATTTATTTGAGAGAGAGAGAGCACAAGTGGTGGAGAGGGAGAAGCAGGCTGCCGCCTGAGCAGGGAGTCCAATGCGGGGCTTGATCCCAGGACCCCTGGATCACGACCTGAGCCGAAGGCAGATGCTTAACCGACTGAGCCACCCAGGCACCCCTATTTTTTAATTTTTAAAAAGATTTTATTTATTTAAGAGAGCGTGAGTGAGTGAGAGAGAGAGAGCGCAAGAGCAGGGAGGGGCAGAGGAAGAGGGAGAAGCAGACTCCCCACTGATTGCAAAGCCTGACACCGGGCTTCATGCCGGGCTTGAACTCAATCCCGGGACGCCAGGATCATGACCTGAGCTGAAGGCAGATGCTTAAGCAAGTGAGCCACCCAGGCGCCCTGATACAACTCATTTTTAAACCAGTGTCATGGGGGATCAAAAGCACTATCATCTTGGTAAAAGTATAATGAATCTAAGACTTTCTTCTAGCTTACAAAGCCCCAGAAAAAGATCATTCTTCATAAAAATAAATGCTGTTTCATAATGAACATGTTCTCTGATCAAAAATATGAACTTTCGGGGGTGCCTGAGTGGCTCAGTTGGTTAAGCGACTGCCTTCAGCTCAGGTCATGATCCTGGAGTCCCGGGATCGAGTCCCGCATCGGGCTCCCTGCTTGGCAGGGAGTCTGCTTCTCCCTCTGACCTTCCCCCCTCTCATGTGTTCTCTCTCTCTCACTCTCTCAAATAAATGAATAAAATCTTTAAAAAAAAAAAAAGAATATGAACTTTTGGGGAGCCTGGGTAGCTCAGTCAGTTGGGCGTCTGCCTTCGGCTCAGGTCATGACCCCAAAGTCCTGGGATCAAGCCCCACGTTGGGCTCCCTGCTCCTGGGAAGCCTGCTTCTTCCTCTGCCTGCAGCTCCCCCTGCTTGTGTTCCCTCTCTTGCTGTCTCTGTCAAATAAATAAATATTAAAAAAAAAAGGGGGGCGCCTGGGTGGCTCAGTCGTTAAGCGTCTGCCTTTGGCTCGGGTCATGATCCCAGGGTCCTGGGATCCACATCGGGCTCCCTGCTCCGCGGGAGGCCTATTTCTCCCTCTCCCACTCCCCCTGCTTGTGTTCCCTCTCTCACTGTCTCTCTCTCTGTCAAATAAATAAAGATTAAAAAAAAAAAAAAGAATATGAACTTTTACACAAATACCAGAAGGCCATAACAAAAAAATTTATTTCCTGAAAAAAACTCAAATTTTCAAATCTAAATCTGTCTCTTCATCCTTCTGAAGTATAGCTCATCTTTCTCAATAAAGTTTAACACAACCACAACAGGTTACACACTACTGTATGCAAAGATTGAGACTCTCAAAGGTTAACCAATAGTACTTACTCTTGTTTTATCAAACAGTTCTGAAACTTTGAGAAAAAACCTGGAAGGGAAAAATATTTCATCAGAAGCCAGCTTTGAAATGACTTTTCATTTCAAATGTTCAGAGCATATACCCCCAAAACCATATTAATAATGAACTTTCTTATTTCACTGCAGTAATATTTAATGGTCTTGTTCACCACAGACTTCATTAGAACAACACCTCTATACTTCCATATAACAGATTGAAAACTGTTAAAAAAAATCTTCCCATTTCAAGGTAACAGTCTAAGCCATACATTTATTTATGTATGTAATATATACTTTTTAAAGTAACCTCTACACCCAAGGGGGGGGTCGAACTCACAACCCTGAGCTCAAGAGTCACGTGCTCCACTGACTGAGCCAGCCAGGCACCCCAAGCCATACATTTAAATTAAAAAATTTTTTCTTTATATTCTTTAGCAGAATGTCACATAATAGTAAATAAAGCCTGTATCTTCAAAATTACTATAGAAGTATAGAACAATCGGATCCAAAAAGGCTGACTTAAAAGGAAAACACTAAAGTTGGAGCAGCTCTTGAAGTTATCTGATACTTATGTGTTAAACATCTTCAAGTAGAGCTGCTTTGTTTTAGAAAATAACAGAAATGGGGGCGCCTGGGTGGCTCAGTCGTTAAGTGTCTGCCTTCGGCTCAGGTCATGATCTCAGGGTCCTGGGATCGAGTCCCGCATCGGGCTCCCTGCTCAGCAGGGAGTCTGCTTCTCCCTCTCCCTCTCCCCCTGCTTGTGTTCCCTCTCTCGCTGTGTCTCTCTCTGTCAAATAAATAAAATCTTAAAAAAAAAAAAAAAAGAACAGAAATGAATAACCAATTTCTATCTCTGAATTCATGTTCACTTTTAACTAAATAGCCTATCTCTCAAATGCTGACACCAACTAAAAAATATTCCAATGCCAAACCATTAAAGGGGTATTCTGTGAAATTATATGTAATTACCGGTGACATTATAACTGGATTGGGCAAGTACTACTAAAAGCTAAAACACGGGCACCTGGGTGGCTCAGTCGGTTAAGCGGTTAACCTGGAGTTCCCGGATCAAGTCCCGCATCGGGCTCCCTGCTCAGCGGGGAGTCTGCTTCTCCCTCTGACCCTCCTCCCTCTCGTGGTCTCTGTCTCTCATTCTCTCTTTCAAATAAATAAATAAAATCTTAAAATAAATAAATAAATAAATAAATAAATAAATAAAAGCTAAAACACTATTTTATGACCTTTGTTTTACCAAAAAGAACTTGATTTGACAGGTTTATGTCCAATAACTCATGGCAAGGTTGGCTTTTTCTTCTTATCAAAGAGTTAGAGACTAACTCTTTGGGAAGATAGCATGTTAATTAATGTAAGCTATATATAGTATCTTGTTTTGCCAAAACACCTGGATCTTACATGTCTACTAAGACGGGATATACTAGAAAAAAGTTCAAGGATATGGTTTAGAAAAAGGCATAAAGTATGAAAATAGTTTTGCCACTTAAAATTGAAAAAAAAGTTGGATTATTTTTCAATGAAGAGTTGGGTTTAAACAATATTACAGGAACAACTAAAATTAACTATGGTTAGATTAATGTGAAAAACCAGTATAAAGTAAATAAACAACAGCTATGTATGCAAACATCCAGAGAGCATTTCTATACTAACATGCATAATACTTCCCCATCAGGTCACTCTAGGACTGCCCTAAGATTCATTAAACTTATAATCTAGAATAGCCAGCCTCTTTAAAAAGTATAAACTGATAACATCACATTTTACTTTAAAAGTCAATCTGGCCTCCAAAAAAATACATACAAATATATATTATATTCTAATTCCAAAACATTTATTTATAATAAACTTCATCAAAACCTAAGAACATTTTGACATAAATTCTGTCTTCCTCTTCCTTACATACATAAATCAGCCAATTTTCATCAAATAAAACTTTGCAAATGTTAAAATTATATAAAGCCCATTTTTACTTTTCAGATTTAAAAAATAAGAGAGAAATGGTAGAGAAAAAAATGACACTGATCCAAGTTTATAAGAAGCGCCTTATTATTGATGTATTTTGAAGAAGATATTCTAAATGACTCTCGGGTCAGAAATATTCTGTGTGTCCAGGCTGCCAACGAAATTTTTGTTTTATTTAATGTTTCAAATCAGAATCCTTACTTGCATATATCTGTAGAATCCTGAGTTCCTAAAGCATATAATGAAGAACCAATTCTATTGTAATCATCTGCAGCACCTACGGAAAAAAATTTTTAGAATATATTTATTCATTGATTCCAAAATACTTACTGAGCACCTACCTGCCAAACAATGTGTATGCAGTATGAAATACTCCAAGTCTGGTGAAGGAAATGACAACAGCTATATTATAACTTGATGAATATTATATTAGAAGTAGGAACAAACTACTCTGGGAGCCGGGGAAACAGATGATTCCACCTGAGTAAGTTAGGGAAGGATTTACAGACACTACTGAATGAGTCAGAACTTGTAGGATAAGCAAATCTTTACCAGGCAAAATGGAGGGGACAGCATGGATAAAGGCCAATGAGACATAAAAGAATACAGTATATTCAAACAGCCTTCTAGGAAGAAGGCACTATAGGGTATAGAAGACAGTGGACAGAGCTGAAGATGGAAAAATAAACTGGAAGTATCCTGGGGGGAAAAAACAGGTTTTTGTAAGACACAATAAAGTTTGGATTTGATCTTGTAAGAATGGGTATTATTAAACATTTTAAAATAACAGTAGTGGTAAAAACAACCATTAAGGATTTTAGATAAAAAATTCTGCTGCCTGGAATAAAGATTAGAAATGGAGACACAGAAGGCTGAGTAACCAACTAGGAATTTGTTGTGTCAGATACTGATGGTCAGGATCAAGTTAGCAAAAACAGTGACAGCAGAGAGGAACAAGAAAGCTAGAAGATATTTAGGAAACCTAATAGGTAGGATTTACAAACAAGAGACCTAAGGTAGGAGGGAAAATTATGGAGCTTGGGAAGCTAGATGAATGGTGGTAGCACCATTATCCTTGGGTGCTAGGAAGCGAAGTATTCAACTTCAGCACAATACTTTTCCCAGGGCTCACCCCATGGGACAACTTGTTGAGAAAAGATTTCTCATTTCAGAGAAAGGATAGTATAAGTGCAATGGTTAAGAGCATAGAACTGGAACCAAACTGCTTAGGGTCCAATCCCAATTTACCAGCTCTACGACCTCGAGCTTATCACTTAACCTGTGTATGCCTTGCTTTCCTTATCTGGAAATGGGGATAATAATGGTACCAGCTCCGCATGATTACTTGGACTAAATGAATTAATAAATGTTACTATAGGGGCGCCTGGGTGGCTCAGTCGTTAAGCGTCTGCCTTCGACTCAGGTCGTGATCCCGGGGTCCTGGGATCGAGCCCCGCATCGGGCTCCCTGCTCCACGGGAAGCCTGCTTCTCCCTCTCCCACTCCCCCTGCCTGTGTTCCCTCTCTCGCTGTGTCTCTCTCTGTCAAATAAATAAATAAAATCTTAAAAAAAATAAATAATAAAAATAAAAAAATGTTACTATATACCTGGCACATAGCAAGTACAGTATTATACAAACGTTTGCTATTATTAACGAAATCCGAGACATGCCTATTTTGTATGGAAATTCCCACTTATGCCAGCAGTATTTTACAAGGTTTAATGTGTTTATTCTCTAACAAAACAGTAATCCTTACACTGTACTTTCTTATGCTGTACGAAGTTACATTCAACAAATAAGACTGAAATCTGGTGACTCTATTTACTTTTTAAAATTATTCAAAACAGATCTATTTTGATCTTTCATAAAGAATTTTTTTGGGGGGCGCCTGGGTGGCTCAGTTGTTAAGCATCTGCCTTTGGCTCAGGTCATGATCCCAGGGTCCTGGGATGGAGCCCCACATCGGGCTCTCTGCTCAGCAGGAAGCCTGCTTCTCCCTCTCCCACTCCCCCTGCTTGTGTTCCCTCTCTCGCTCTGTCTCTCTGTGTCAAATAAATAAAAATCTTTAAAAAAAAAAAAAAAAGAATTTTTTTTTAAAGTGGGCTCCATGCCCAACATGGGGCTCAAACTCACACAAGAGTTGCATACTCTACTCATCTGAGCCAGCCAGGTGCCCCCATAAAAAAACTGAACACAAACTTCAGACTCTGAATGGTAACTTCTACATATGAGATTGTTCACTATTATCCTAAAAGTTTAAGTTAAAAAAAAAATAACACTTAAAAATCACAAAAAGGTTGGTTTATTGAGGCAGGAATCACAAATGATTTGTGTTTAAAATCAAATACATTAATATTTTATACTTAAACTGACCCTGAAATTATTTTTTAGAGCAAGACATTCCTAGATCCTAATATCTGGCCCTGAGAATACTACCCTCTTTAGCTGTTACATCATTATATGATCACAGAAAATAAGCAAACTGCCCTGATTTTATACATTACAGTGATGTTGAAAACTTAAGTTTTCATAGTCCAGGCTAAGTTCATGCATCATGAAAAAATAATTTTTACTTTATAATTCTGTAAAATCGTATGTTATATAATTAATTATATGTAATAATTATGATTTTGTAAATAGGTTCACAACCATCTTTCTTAAAAGCACTGTTGCAGGGGCGCCTGGGTGGCTCAGTCATTAAACATCTGCCTTCGGCTCAGGTCATGATCTCAGGGTCCTGGGATCGAGCCCCGCATCGGGCTCCCTGCTCAGCGGGAAGCCTGCTTCTCCCTCTCCCACTCCCCCTGCCTGTGTTCCTTCTCTCGCTTTGTCTCTGTCAAATAAATAAATAAAATCTTAAAAAAAAAAAAGCACTGTTCCATTTGGTCAAATAAATAAAGAAGAATCACTAATATTTTCTTCAGTTTTCTTAATGGATGACTGTCTACCTTTATAGTTCTTTATGTTTCCATAGCACGAATATGCACCTCTCTTACAGGACTGATTATAGTACACTGTAATTTTTTGCTTTTTGTGTTTATTTCACCTGCAAAATTTTTATTTTTTTTTAAGATTTTATTGATTTATTTGAGATTGAGCACAAGCAGGGGGAGGTACAGAGGGAGAAGCAGACTCCCCACTAAGCAAGGAGCCTGACACAGGGCTCCATCCCAGGACCCCAGGATCATGACCTGAGCTGAAGGCAGACATTTAACCAACTGAGCCACCCGGGTGTCCCTATTTATTTATTTTTAAAAAGATTTATTTATTTGAGAGAGAGACAGAGCATAAGTGGGGGGAGAGGCAGAAGGAGATCCCGATGGAGGAATGATCCCAGGACCCTGAGATCATGACCTTAGCCAACATCAAGAGTTGGCTGCTTAACCAACTGAGCCACCCAGGCCCCCTGAACTCTATCACATTTAAATTCCATTGGTATAAGTGATATTTATCCCAAGAACATAAGGTTGATTTAACATTTGAAAATATAATTAATCATACTAATAGACTAAAAAGGAAAAATGATATGATTATCTCAACACTGTAGGTGCAAAAAAGAACATTTGATAAAAATCCAACATTCATTCCTGACTTAAAAGAAAAAAAAAAACTCCCAGAAAACTAGCAATTTACAAGAGAATTTTCTCAACCTGATAAAAAGCATCTAGGAGAAACTAATGGTTTAAGAATGAATGCCTTCCGCAGAAGTTAAGGAACAAGGCAAAGACGCCTACTCTCACCACTTCCATCCACACTCTACTGGAGCTTCAGTACGACGGGGCAAAGACAAGAAATAAATGGAACCTAAATTGGAAAGAAATCTAATTGTTTCTATTAGCAGATGATCATCTATGTAGAAGATCCAAAGGAATCTACAAATAGTTACTGGAACCAGTAAGTGAGTTTATTAAGACTGCAAGATATATGATCAATATAGAAAATACATTGTATTTCTATATATTAGCAAATAACAACTGGCAACTGAAAAATAAAATACATAATTTACAAGAGCATCAAAAATAATTAGGAATCAATCTATATACAAGATAACTATGTATAAGATCTGTACAATGAAAGCTATAAAATATTGCTGAGAGAATTTAAGGAAGACCTAGCTAAATGGAGAAATACACTATATTCATGTATCAGAAGAATCAATATTGTTAAGACATCAATCCTCCCCAAATTGACCTACAGATTCTACACAATCCCAATCAAAATCCCAGACACCATTTTTATAAAAGTGACAAGCTGATTCTAAAATCCATATGAAAATGTAAAGAACCTAGAGGGGCCAAAACAACTTTGGTATAGAAGAATAAAGCAGGAGGACTTATATAAGAAAAGATATTCAACATCATCAGTCATTAGGGAAATGCAAATTAAAATCACACTGAGACGCCTATGAGAATGGCTAAAAGGAAAAAGAGTGAGTATCCTTGTTGGAAAAGATGTGGAGGAATTGGAACTCTCATGCACAGCTGGTAGGAATGTAAAATGGTACAGTCATTTCATTTTGGGAAAAAAAGTTTGGCAATTTCTTAAAAAGTTAATTATACACTTACCACATGACCCAGCCACTCTACTTTTAGGTATTACCCAAGAGAAATGAAAGCACATGTCCATACAAAGACTTACAAATAGATGGTTCATGTCAGCTTTATTTATAACAGTCTAAAGCTAACAATGACCCAAATGTCCACCAACAGCTGAATGGATAAACAATTGTGGTATATCCATACAACAGTATAATACTCAGCAATTAAAAGGAATGCCCTCTTGATACACACAACAACTTGAACTAATCTCAAAATAATTTTGTTGCATTTTAAAGCCAAATAATAAAGAGTACATATAGTATGATTCCATTCATATAAAATTCTAGAAAATGCAAATTAATCTATAGAGACAGGAAGCACATCAATGGTTGCCTAGGGACAGGGAAAAAGGGAGGGAATACAAAGGGCTGTAAGGGAACTTTTGGTGGTGATGGATATGTTCATTATCTTGATTATAGTGATGATTTTACACATACGTCAAAACTTATCAAACTGTATACTTTGAACATTGCAACTTACTGATACCAACTTATACCTCAATAAAGCTGTTAAAACATTAGTCTATCTTGAACTTTGAATGAATCTTTTACATACATGATTTTGTAACATCATGTACTTGATCATTTAGAAAATATTGGCTCAATGAGTTATGCAGATCTTCCAAATGTTGACACACTTCATTATACATAAACAACATCAAAAATACCACATTGACATATGATCATCAATCTCCTCAGACAAGTCTTTATTGTGAAGCAAGTTCATGAGGATGGATACAAGTTTTCAAAAATTCTAATTATTGCTGGGAGCTTGACTTTTATCATTGTCAACAAATACTATCAGTTGTTTTCCTTAAAGTGACAGATTCACTTAATTTTTAAGAAAATGTCTACCAAATACTCAAATCTGAATAATCATAGTTTGGCAGCTTTTCTCTCAAGTAGAAATGGTGGTTTTTTTTGGGGAAAAAAAAAAAAAGGCAGATAATTCAGTTGCAACTAAAGTGCTTTTCTAAAGAGAACCATTATATTTCAGTACGCAGAGTGCTTTATGTATACCTTCCATTTCATCATTCAGAATATTAAAAAAGTGAACTCAAGGGAAGTGTTTATTACAATTAGTAATTTTAACTGCTTTATCGAGGATATTCTTAATTGAATTTGTTTTTCTAACTGCAAACGCACTGCAGGAAAGAATATAGTGACTCTTAGCACAGTTTGGTGCCACTGTCTTGCTCTGTGCTAAGGCACCAGTAATCTTATCCACCATGGCTTCTGCTTTATCAGTGTAAATGTCAACATGGTGAAAAATACAAAAAGCATCATGGATTGTTATGAAAATAGTTTTGACCTCACAGACTTGCTAAAAATAAAAAGAGCCTTAGGGTCAAGACTTCACAGACCACAGTTTGAGAACCACTGTTCTAGAGCAAGACTTTTATAAACTATAAGTAACATAGTAACTTTATAATTATTCCATTAAAAAATGTAAGCTTTAGCCACAGAGAAAAACCTTACTTTTGTGGGATCTTGTCATCCTATCAGATTTAGCAGATGCATCCTTAACTCGGTTATGATATTCTAAAAGGAATGTTCGTTCATGCTCAAAGAAATCATCTACATCCTATAGGGTTAAAAGAAAATATAATTTTTCACTTATTTACTTTAGTGTAATACATAAATCACTTTACCATTATAATCATAAAAGATCAGTAAAACAGCACAGCTATCCTCTAATAATCAGATGTTCTAATGATTTCACCAACAAATTCAGACTTTATACAGACATGCACTTCTATCTATCCAGGAAGAAATCTGCAATGGTTTTGCAGTTGAAAGCTTAGATCTTCCATAATGGTTCACGTTCACATGTTGTACTCTGAAATACGTTCCTACTCGTGCTCTGTGTCTACAGTCCAGCCTCTCCAACAAATATATTACTGCCGGGGGGAGTAATCAATTGCTTTTGAGAAGAAACAAATTCTGATAGACAAGTCCGAATCTATTTCTCTTGGTCTATTAAGTATTCTATGAGCCATTCCTAAAGGCTGCCAGGCCTTCGTCATTACAGCCCTCTCTGCTTGCTTTGGGGAAACATGGCCAAACTAGCTTTCTGGGAGCAATTATTGTATCTTTTTTGAAACAAAGCTAGATACACATTAAAAATAAAAATTATTAAAAGTACTTTCCTCCTTTCTAAAACAACAATCATTTTTTGAAACAGCAGCAGCTAAAATGATGTAATTCACATCCACATCAACAGAACATGGGAAAGAAGTCAGTACTAACAAAATGTCCTTTAAAATCTGTAACTCATGTGTACCAATTTTCTTAACTGTTAAAATGGGGATAAAACTGAGGCGCCTGGGTGGCTCAGTCGTTAAGCATCTGCCTTCGGCTCAGGTCATGATCCCAGGGTCCTGGGATCAAGCCCCGCATCGGGCTCCCTGCTCCGCGAGAAGCCTGCTTCTCCTTCTCCCTCTCCCACTCCTCTGCTTGTGTTCCTGCTCTCGCTATCTCTCTGTTAAATAAATAAATAAAATCTTAAAAAAAAAAAAGGGGGGGGATAAAACTATCCAACTTGTAGGGTTGAAGAGTAAACAAAATGTGGATTAACAAACACCACATTGTAAATGTTCAAAAAATGTTACTACTTTACCAAAATCATAATCCATATAGTGGATTAATGCTAAGGAAAATGTTCAATATTAATGTGTAAGTAGCATCAAAATGGAAGGAAGTGGAGTCCTTATTAGAAAGTAGCCATGGCACATGCACTGTCAACATACCAGCTGACCTGTCTCTGAAAAACTGAAGTATGAATCAAATAAATAGTACTTCCTACCTAAGTTTTACTGTAGATGTATCTATAAAAATAGGCAATGATGACAAAGCAGCATTATTTATCTTTCTTAGTATCTGTGTGATAATGTAATATAAACACTTTTCTCTTTTAATGGTTAAGAGTTTTCAGATAAATCAATTCTTGTACCATTTTTAGAACATCATTAAGAAATACTTAGGTGCTATTTATTTTAATTTTAAATATGCCTGTTTATTTATTTATTTGTAAGCTCTACCCGCAATGTGGGGCTTGAATTCACGACTCTGAGATCAAGAGTCACATGCTCTACTAACTGAGCCAGTCAGGCACCCCACAACAAGACTAAAACCTCAAAGGAGCTCTTCTAACTCCAGATCTGAACCCAAGTGTGCCCCTAACATTTGTAAGGCCGAGGGCAAGTGCACAAATGGAGGCAGGCCCTCTTCGTGCCCTATCCTGCAGCTCTGTACGGCACCAAGAGAAACCTCACGTGTGTATGTAAGCGGATATTCTATCCTGCACACTGATCTTCTCCCCTGTGCCCTCCCTCTTCCCAGCTGTTCCATGGTCACCCTTGACCACCCATGAAATGCACACACTGGAGGATGAATTCAGGGAAGAGGCCCACAGAAGAGAAAAAGTTGGAAGTAGGCTTCAGATTTGGGCAAGGAAACATGGGGTTCCAGACCCCTAAAGCATGGTCTAGTTTGGAGGGAAGGGGTATACACTCCAGGTGGGCAAATCCCCTTGTACCTACAGACCTCTCACCCCTGGGAGAAGGAAGTTCTCTAAAGAGTAGAATCGAGGGCAGGGGGCCCAGATTCCCAGGCCTAAGCATTCTACCGTCCAAATTCTCTTTTACTCTAATAAGTCATCTGCACATCTGAAATCTCAATCTATCTTCTTAAAAGAAGTAGATTCTCAAACCAATACCTCTGTTAATCAAATAGAATCTTACCTTTACTCCTGAAACAATTACTCCATCTGCTGATTTTACCATGTTTTTGAAGAAATCTTCAAGTTTTTCTTTTTTATTTTTTCCTCTCACACTCAGCTGAAAGAAAGGTAAACTTAAGTTGGCAATTTTTTTAGATTACAAATGGAAAGTAATGCCTCTTTTATTCTCTGACATCAAAATGGCAACCACAGGGCGCCTGGGTGGCTCAGTTGGTTGAGCGACTGCCTTCGGCTCAGGTCATGATCCTGGAGTCCTGGGATCGAGTCCCGCATCGGGCTCCCTGCTCGGCAGGAGTCTGCTTCTCCCTCTGACCCTCTTCCCTCTCTTGCTATCTGTCTCTCATTCTCTCTCTCTCAAATAAATAAATAAAAATCTTTAAAAAAAATAAAATAAAATAAAAAATAAAAAAATAAAAAAACAAAAAAACAAAATGGCAACCACAAAAGGATCCTGGTTTTTAAACTTTAATAAAGTGGCAGTATCATTATGTGTATCCGTGACTTTCAAACTTTAGTGTATTAAAGAGGAGGCTGGCCTCTCTCAAAGATTCAGATTCAGGTGATCTACAATAATGCCTAGATATCTCAAATTTTATAAGTATATTTGATAATCCCATTGCAAGTAGCCTTCTTATCCCATATATAGTAATATATAAAGACAACTAAAAATTTAATCCAGGAGTTCCTTTAAAGATGTAAAATTTATTGGAGTCTAATATACCATCATAGGACTCTATAAAAACTTTGAAAATATATTGTGCAAATTCTTTTTTTTTTTTGTAAGATTTTACTTATCTTATTTGAGAGAGAATAAGAGAGAATGAGTGGGGTGAGAGGCAGAGGAAGAAGCAGACTCCCCGCTGAGCAGGGAGCCTGATGTGGGCTCGATCCTGGGACTCGGGGATCATGACCTGAGCCAAAGGCAGATGCTTAACCTACTGAGCCACCCAGGCGCCCCGTATTCTGCAAACTCTTCACTCTGAACTCATCCAAATATCATGTCTTGTCCTGTTTTGGGGATCAGCAACTTATAGTATAAGGGACACAAAAGGTGACTCCAGATGGCAAAAATGGTTATCTAAAGGCAAAACTGAGAAGCAGCTAACTCTTTGACTTTACCACTTACTGCATCACGGTGTCCCACAATGTAACATCCCATCTAATTTCCGTATCTACTGCCATGGCTTCAATGTTCACCATTATGTAAATGATTCACAAATCATGATCACTATCCCTAAGCTCTTTCCTGAACCTCAGACCCTATTTCCAATTGCCTATATTATATCCCTATATGGAGATTCTGCTAAACCCACATTAAACTAAGACAGTATTCATTATAATCTAATCTAATCTCCAAATTTTTCTACTTGGTTCCCTGTCCATGGTCCCTCCATCCAACCAGTCTCTCCAACATATTCCCTTAAGCCCCATACCTCTCATTAAAAATCTTGAAATAATCTACAACTTTTTTTTGTCTCTCACAGCTCAAATTCTACCATCAAATCCTGAAATCTGTCCCTTTCTTTCCCACTGTCCTAGTGAAAAACCTCATTATTTCTTGCCTAACTACTACACTGGACTACTAGTTAACATCTCTCATTTCCTCAATTCTATCCATTCTGTTGATGACTTCCAAAATCAAATTTTGAGCATCTCCTCCTTACTCAATACCTTTACAGAGTTTCACCATGTTCAGAGTTAAGAAGAAAACTCAGTCAGAAGAGATCCCAAAGATGTAGAAGTATGTGGGATCCAGGACAGCTAGAAAGATATCTTCATCAAAATGGAAAGGCACAATGTGATACATCATATTAACAGAATAAAGGACAAAACCACATCATCTCAATAGCTATACTTTTTTCATAACAAAAACACTCAACAAACTAGGAACAGAAGGGAACTTCAACTTGATAAAGAGCATCAATGAAAACCCCACAGCTAACATCATACTTAACAGTGAAACAATGAATGCTTTCCCCCTAAGATTAGAGACAAAACAAAGATGTCTGCTCTTGTCATTTCTATTTTACATAGTACTGGAGGTCCTAGCCAGGACAGTTAGGCAAGCAAAAGAAATTAAAAGGGTATCCAGATTAGAAAGGAAGAAATTAAAAAAAAAAAAAAAAAGCTAAAACATGATCATGGCTGCCATGGTGATTGAGAGTTGTGGGACACACATAAGAGTTGTAGGATTTGATTTCTGACTGGCTTCCACTTCCCAGTGAACACGGTCATTTTCTCATCTAGAGGAACTGCTGAAAGTTGAAATGAGCTTTTATGGAAAATGGGAGAGAGCTGTCTAAAGTCATAACCTTGTTATAAATGATGGAGCAGGCAATCTAGACTAGATGAGAAATAAGTAAAGACAAAAGGGCTTCTAACAGGGTCAAAATGCAGGAGAGGTCAAGGGTCTAGATATACCAGTGAGTTAAACAACAACCAAAATAGGAGTAGGGAAAAAGAGAGTTATCTATGTTTGGAGTCTAGCTGTCAATGTTTGGAGTCTATTAATACTAGAGTTTAAGAACTCAGATAAGAGAGAGGGTCCTGGGTGTGGCCACTGATAAGGTAGCAAGAATTGAATGGACATTAGGGTGTTTTTTGTTTTTTTGGTTTTTTTTTTAAAGGTTTATTTGACAGAGAGAAAGACCGCCAGAGAGGGAACACAAGCAGGGGGAGTGGGAGAGGGAGAAGCAGGCTTCCCGCTGAGCAGGGAGCCCGATGTGGGGCTCGATCCCAGGACTCTGGGATCATGACCTGAGCCGAAGGCAGACACTTAACGACTGAGCCACCCAGGCGCCTTGTTTTTTGTTTTTTAAGATTTTATTTATTTATTTGACAGAGAGAGACACAGTGAGAGAGGGAACACAGGCAGGGGGAGTGGTAAAGTAGTAAAATAAAATAAAGGAGTAAAAATAACCATTTAAAAATATGAACGCCATTCCTGGCTCAGAGGCTATACAAAAATAGGTTGTAATTTGCCAGCCTCTCTTTAATTTATTAACAAAATCCTTGATAGTTTATAACCTCTTTAAAAAGAATAAATATAGGGGTGCCTGGGTGCCTCAGTCGTTTAGCGTCTGCCTTCGGCTCAGGTCATGATCCCAGGGTCCTGGGATCGAGCCCCGCATCGGGCTCCCTGCTCAGCAGGAAGTCTGCTTCTTCCTGTCCCACTCCCCTCGCTTGTGTTCCCTCTCTCGCTGTGTCTCTCTCTGTCAAATAAATAAATAAAAAATCTTAAAAAAAAAAAGTTTAAAAAATAAAATTAAAAAAATACAGATATGTAATTTTACACAGCACTAAGGGATTTGGCAATGGGCTAGAGTATGTGGAGCACGAGGCTCCTCTGGCACAAGTCACCCTGAACCGATAATACCACACCCCACTGTATACAGACTTATGCTGCTCTACCAATTATTATTAAGGTTTTGGCCCAGGCCACGAATAAGGTTGAGGAAAAACAAACACATAAAGGTAAAAAATTGATGACAGCATTCTGTATCATGTGTTCTTTGGCAACCCTACTCACGAATTGTTTTCACTTCTTATAATTCATAATATAGCCAGCATTCTTTACAATTAATTCCTAGTTACAAACGACCACATGCCAGTATCACATACCACATTTATGCTTGTCAAAGTACCCATGCTTAAGTGCTATGTTTCTGTGATCTTGAGTTACTTCATACCCTTTTAAAAAAATATGTACTCTCTACTGCTAGACTTAGGACACTTTATTGTCATTGTCATGTCTACTAAAACCAAACCAGAAGGACAAATTTATATATACAAAATTCTTTGATCTTGATGTTAACTTGTAAACAAACTAGCACTATGCTACATTTGGTTTTTTGCTAAAATTATGAGTTAATCTCGTCATCCGAATATAAATCCCAAGATCTGTATCGCCCACCCATTAAAATTTTTGCCAGTACTACAAATGAAGAAATCTTTGAAGCTCAATTGCATCAATTTTTCTTTTCTTTTTTTTTTCAAAAGATTTTATTTATTTATTTGACAGAGAGAGAGACACAGCGAGAGAGGGAACACGAGCAGGGGGAGTGGGAGAGGGAGAAGCAGGCTCCCACTGAGCAGGGAGCCCGATGTGGGGCTCGATCCCAGGACTCTGGGGTCATGACCTGAGCCAAAGGCAGACGCTTAACAACTGAGCCGCCCAGGCGCCCTGCACCAATTTTTCTATTTGCACTGTAACAGTTTTCAGGCAGGGAGGGAGGAAGGTTAGGAGCAATCGCACTGAAGAAGGTCAGTTAAACAGATCAAAACTCAATGATTAACCCAAAACTAATCTGGAATTCTTTAGTTCAAACACCTCGCTGGGATTCCCCATAAGGCTTCAGAGGACTCCAAACTCAAATTTAAGAAACAATCAAGTTGATGGGACGCCTGGGTGGCTCAGTCGGTTAAGCGTCTGCCTTCAGCTCAGGTCATGATCCCAGGGTCCTGGGATCGAGTCCCGCATTGGGCTCCCTGCTCTGCGGGGAGCCTGCTTCTCCCTCTGCCTCTGCCTCTCTCTCTCTCTATCTCTCATGAATAAATAAATAAAATCTTTAAAAAAAAGAAAAAAAAAAAACAATCAAGTTGATAACCGTGTTTCTTAAAAAGTTCACAATTCAGGATGAAAATCAATATCCCATGTAGTAACATGATTTTCCCTCATTTCTTCAATTAATCTCCTCAAGTTCTACTGAAATACTGTATTACCACTACAAAAGTATCATTTTATTTTATTTTATTTTTTATTATTTTATTTTTTTAAAAGATTTTATTTATTTATTTGAGACAGAGAGAATGAGAGAGAGAGAGCACATGAGAGGGGGGGAGGGTCAGAGGGAGAAGCAGGCTCCCTGCTGAGCAGGGAGCCCGATGCGGGACTCGATCCCGGGACTCCAGGATCATGACCTCAGCCGAAAGCAGTCGCTTAACCAACTGAGCCACCCAGGCGCCCCACAAAAGTATCATTTTAAACTGCCTTGAAATAGAAGAATGTTACAAAAAAGGGTCATCTAACTATTCCCTGCCTTTCCCAGTAACTCTAAAAATAAACCTTGATCACTACTTTAATCAATACTCACATCTTGATTATATTCCAAGAAGACATGAAAATTTAAATCTTTTCTCAAAATAGGATGTGCTGCCACACGACATAGGAACACTTCATGCATTGCAACAGTCTTCTTGAATATTGCCAAATATTCACTAGAAACAATACACAAAATTAAAGGTAAAACACTGCATCAACTAGAAAATCATCTGCAACAATTTTTTCAGCAAATACTCTGAATTATACTAAAAGCAAAATTAAAGATATAAAGATATAATCCACATAAACAAAGATTTTAGTTGAACTGTTAATAAAATATATAAAACCCAGCTCTGAAAAGGCTTCATGCTAGTTAATAGTATTTATTATATTTAAATGTTAATATTTTTAGGTTTTATGAACCTTTCTTCCTATGCAAGTTGATGTTAAAGTAACTATAGAGGGGTTCGTTTTCAGCTCCAGAGAAAGTATACTACAAGTTATTCAATACAATTTTATGACTCAATTTCTAGATAATTACTGCATTTAAACACTTTTATAAAAAAAATAAATAAAACCCAATCCTCAGTAAACATATTTTTGACATTAATAATTATTTTCATCTAATGACCCAAACACACAAGAAAAAAGCATACCGCAGAGAGACTAATTTTTGTCATTACATTGAAAAACTGTGTTTAAAATAGTTTAATATCATCAGTGAATCACAGCGATCGTATAGTAATATATGTCAGTTTGAAAAAAAGAAACACTCAAGGAAAAGGCCCAATATTCTTGCTTCAACTACGTGCAAGGAGGATAAATTTTACATACCAGCAAACCAGCAGGACCAATGTTGGGAGAAGTTTGATCTCTGTGAGGGTAGTCATTCAGTGAAGACAAAAAAGAAGGATGCAGAGGATGGAGGTAGCAGTAGAATAAACCCAAGGTTCTCTGTTATCCAACCCCTAACCAGACCACAAAAGAATCATGATCAGGGCCACTGGAAAACCACAGATTCTTTAATATTAATGTGCTCTGCTAATTTCCAGTTTTCAGTCTTATAACTATAAAAGTATAGATTTCTGTCTGCTCTCAAGACTATTGCTTGCACCCAGCAGGGCCAAAAATCTTAAAATACCTAGCACCTCACACTTTGACAAAAAAGATCTACTTTGCTAATTTATCTTGTCAAATGAGTTTAGCATTCTGAAGAGGAGTCTAGTAGCCATGTGGATAGACGCTTAAAAGCCAAAACTAAGTGGAAGAGGAGAAAAGGAAATGCATGAAGAGGAGAAATGGCCAGAAAAAGAGTGATGGAAGTGATGATGATGCAAGGAAAGTTATTTCCTTGTATAGCTCCCAAAATATAGAAAAACAATATACTGCAAATCTAAAATTATTCATATGTCTAGTAAAAGGGGAAAGATTTGGTATTTTTAGCAAGTATGCTAAAAATAAAATAGAAACTATCTCAAATTTTTTCAAGGATTGAATACAATTTCTAGTATATGTGAAACTAATAATCATTTAATGAAAACATTTTAAAAACTATTCTCTTGTTACTTTGTTCCTATTCTTTTTCCTTCAGCCAGAAGCCAGAGACAGAAAAAAAGAGGGCAAAAATTACACACACATGCACACACACATTTTTTAAAAAAGAAAATAATATATGCAGAGTTGCTCAGTGCATATTTCTACGGGAAATAATAGAAGTTTGGGTAGTATGCACATATCGAAAAAAGAAAACTAGGTTGGCAATGACTAAAACCTTGTAAATAAAAAACAAAGCAAGTTACATTCTGCTTTAAAAAGTCGTATTTCCCTTTCTACTATTTTTAAATAAAGTTTTGGATCCTCTGTTTTTAATTTTCAGAGTCTATTTAAAACATTAAAGAATTTTACAATACAGACAATTATTCTATAATTTTCCTGTAGGCTCTGATCATGACCATTAAAACTGGTTGTTTGGCTTAAACCTGCATCTTTCAGAAAGGGTCACTGTGGTGAAATGATTAAAAGGATGGGATATCAGAGAGCACAGAAAAAGGCATTAAAACAAGCACAATTAACAAAAGCAACAACAAAAATCACATACGCTTCCAGTTCCTGTTTCATCTTTGTGAATTCTTCCTTTGTCATGGACCCTTCTCCTTCTCCAAGCTTCTGCAGTTTTTCCCTTGAAGCATCAAAATCAGGTCTTGGTGGTGCCGGTGGGATCTGTAAGAGAACCAAGTCCCTAATTTAAAGACTATTTTCTTTTTCACAGCAGTTGTACTACTGCCACCATAAAAGACTGTATCTGGGAGAGCTAAAAACATCCTGAATGAACACGACACCAGGAACATCCCAATTCAGGATAGAGAATTTGATTAGGTCCTTTGCACCAAGGAAGAAATACAGCAGAACACTATTTTCTAGTATAAGAACACTAGTTTCCAAACTTTAATCTGCAGATTCCTATGTGGCAACTTAGAGTCCTCAAATGTATATGCACATTAAGCTCTGACTATACACTAAAAGAAGATGCATACCATTTTTCAGAAGTATGTAAATGGTTTGATTAAATACAAATATATTTTTTAATTAAAGAATTCATAGTAGCTTTATGCTATGCTATGTTTTTAAAATTCATGAATGCCAAGAGTATGCTCTAGCAAGGAATGTTAAAAAGGGTTCCTGAATTGGAGGAGTGTTATAAGAAGAAAGCACTGACTTAAAACCAAGAGAACAAGACAGGGATTAATGACTAACATCATTCTATTCACTCACAGTGGGTACGTAAACACTTACCTTAAATAAAAATATAAGATCTAGAAGAGACATATCATTCAAGGGAAGGATAAAGAAAAAGTTTATCTTAAGAGGAAGGGCCTAGAAGAACAGTTAAGGGGAAATGATGGAAAGTAAAGAAAGCAAGAAGATAAGAGGAAGAACAGGTAAGTAGGGGAAAGCTAAAGAATGAATACAAGAGAAGGGTTATACTTGAGGAAAGCCACAGGGAAGGAAGCATCAAGTACAGCCGAGCACACATTCATGGATGCCCATACACCACATCTACTATGTGCCAGGAATGATGCTGAACAATGTGCATATAAAGATAAATAAGACATGGCCCCTTTTTTTTTTTTTAAATCCAAGAAGGGGGAGCTTCAGGCAGAGCAAGAAGCAGGCTCCTCGATGAGCAACGAGCCTGATGAGGAACTTGATCCCAGGACCCTGGGATCATTACCTGAGCTGAAGGCAGGGGCTCAACCAACTGAGCCACCCAGGCATCCCTAAATAAGATACGGTCTTGATCTTTGAGGAGTGTTTAGTGTGTAGAAGGACATGGTAGTAAGAAAATGCCATTAGGTGAGCACTGTGAATTGTGTAAGACGGTTGAATCACAGACCTGTACCTCTGAAACAAATAATACATTATATGTTAAAAGAAAAAAAAGAGAAGACAGTAGGAAGGGGAAAATGACAGGGGGAGGGAATCGGAGGGGGAGACGAACCATGACAGACTATGGACTCTGAGAAACAAACTGAGGGTTTTAGAGGGGAGGGGGGTGGGGGATGGGTTAGCCTGGTGACGGGTATTAAGCAGGGCACGTATTGAATGGAGCACTGGGTGTTATACGCAAACAATGAATCATGGAACACTACATCAAAAACTAATGATGTAATGAATGGTGACTAACATAACATAATAAAATAAAACTAAAAAAAAAAAGAATTAGACAAGATGAGGAAGAAAAGGTGGAAATAACATGGGAAGAGAAGGAGGAGCTTCCAGGTTGGCGAAGACACTGACATGCTGGAAGGTGGAAGGTGGTACACCTGCAGAACATGAAAGTTCTGCACCAACCCCCTCTCCCTGTACCTTGTCCTATGCATCTCTTCCTTTTGGCTGTTCCTGTGTTGATTCTTTATATAAACCAGTAATTTTTTTAAAAGAAAGAAAAAAAAGAAGGCACTGCCAGTGGTCCACCAAATTCTGAGTTTTACAAAGAAAAAGCAAATGACTGAGAAGGAGTGTTGCCATAAGGATGGAGACAGAATCAGTTCAGGATGATTTCAAGGAGATCATATGAAACTAAATTTCAGGAATCTGAGTGTGGTCAACAGCTGAGGCACAACACCTAATGCATACTTAGATTAGATAACCTCTTAAGGAACCCTCCAACTCTAAATATCTGTCTACCTAAGGGTTCAAAACGGGTATGGTTTATAACATCCCCTTAATCTCTAGGAAAAGCCCATTTCAATTCCAATAAACAGTAAGAATTTAAGTTTAAATGAAGGAGCACAAGATATCCATATCTCCACACTCTCAAACTAGACAATTCAGGATAAAAGGTGGTAGTCAATTGCGTTTTGTAACTGACAATTTTTAAAAATCACATCAGTTCACTAAAATGCTAAACAAGATTTAACACATAACAAAGTATCTAAAAAGTTCCTACAAAATGGGATTAAAATGGAACCCCAACACTTACAATGTAACCCGCATAGTCTTCATTTTCAACGAAGGAATCATGAAGCCAGATAAATTCCTCATGTTGTCGAACAACAGAAAACTCATTTTGTTTAAAATTTGGCAATGAACTCTGCAAAGACAGAGATTCTCTTGAAGAAAAATCAAAATTGCACTAAAAAGCTTTTAATAAACATTTTTAATCTTATTTTCTTAAATTAGTCTTATATGAATGATTATCAGTACTTTTAAACTCTATTATGAAAACTCTGAGACACCCAGAAAAAATTATCCTGGGATCTTTAAGAAAGTAAGCTGACAGCCTCTTATTATATTGTATTGCTACCATTACTTAAAAGTTATTAATATATATCAAACTCAACTACTCAAAGGAAAATAAATTTAAGATCTGAAAATGTGCCTGAGAACTAAAATCCAAAAAGAAAATAATTTTTAAGACAGTAATTTATTTAGTTTTAAAGTTTTATTTATTTGAGAGAGAGAGAGAGAGAAAGAGGGAGGGTCGGTGGGGGGGAGAGGGACAAGCCTGAGATCATGACCTGAGCCGAAATCAAGAGTTGGAGGCTTAACCAACTAAGCCACCCAAATGCCCTCTAAGACAATAATATAATTAACTGAAAGAACAAAACAAAATTGAAAACAAGAATACTGAAACATGTTAATAAGTCTAGAGAAAATTAAATTTGCATTACATCTGTGATTAACTCTTAAATGTTAACCTTTAAAAAGCATATTAAAAAAAGTACATTCCCTAAAACTGTTTGTTAAAATAAAAGCAGTGAATTATAAGCTAAAATATGGTTTCTTTCTAATTTGTTCAAAACCAAAGTTCCGGTCAATATATTATTACATATGTAACATTTGCACAATAAATAGCTGTTAATAATACAAGTACAAAATCACATTTACCTTTGTATGAACAGTGAATTTTACTTTATCTCTCTCACTAAGAGCATCAGAAATGTCCACCTGCAGAGCAGCATCACTTTGAAGATCTACGTTTATTGCTTTAAGCTAGAAAAAGATAATACCTTAATGAAAAATTCTGTGGGCTTATAGAGAATTTCATTCTTTTCTCAGACATTCAGATAATGCAAAAACGAACAAAAATAACAAAAGAATCTTAAATCTAAAAGTTCATTTAAACCTCATATATATTTTGGGAGGCAGGTGCTTTGGCTATGTTATTATCTTCATTTTCATTCTACACATTTCAACTATGCTTTGTATGAGTCGATGTGCTAACCATGATTCATTATAATTTCACTCAAAAAGTGAACTATTTTTTCTCTCTCCTATTTCTCTGCCATCATGGTGTGTATGGTTGACTGTTCCTCACCATGGATGACAGCAGGGAAGTCTGGAAGGCTCCCTAACCTAGGAGCTTGGATGGCCTGGGTTTGAATCCCAACTCTGCACATTAATACTCTGATTTGGATCTTCTCACAAGACCCATCAAGCAATTTCTGGCCAAGAAACAAAAGCATAGTTGTCCCATTCCCTAGTGGATTCAGATGAAAACCGGTATCAAAATTAGGTACAGCTTCAAGAGGCACTGGAAAAGAACCAAGCTGGTCTATTAGGAACAGCACATGGATGGCACACATATTTATGCTGCATGGTCACATACTCATATCCTATCACTCTGTAACATCACTACAACCTGAGCAATAGACATGTTTTATTAGGGAAATGATTCTTCTCTGTTACTATGCTTCTGCACCAGTTGGTTGGTTCAGTAATAAATATGTGAGACCTTTTGTTTGAAAAAAATACATAAACTATAGTCCATTAAAGTTCAAGTGCTCTAAAATTAAGGGAAGTATCTACCTTTTCTTCTTCTTTTAAGATTTTATTTATTTGTGAGACAGAGAGCATGAGAGTGGGGTGAGGGGCGGGGGGGGAAGCAGACTCCCTGCTGAGCAGGGAGCCTGATGTAGGGCTCAAACCGGGGACTCTGGGATTATGACCTGAGCCAAAGGCAGACGCTTAACTGACTGAGCCATCCAGGTGCCCAGGAAAGTATCTACCTTTTACAACAAGCAAAATAATGAAAAGAATATTGGCTAATAATTTTAACTCTATTGCTTAATTCAGGAATAAACAATGAAACTATTATAGTTTATATATTATAATATATAGTTATATATATTATTTACATAGTTAAATATATTACATATAACATATGTAAAATGCTAAGAAAAATGGTAACATATAGTAAATACTCAACTACCACCTGTGATATGAATTAAATCTCACATTTTACTCTACAAGCTTTACTATGTTCCAAGAATTGAATATGTTCTCTATTTAGTGCTTTCATTTACTTGTCTATGAGAAGACTTCTCTACTTATAATTTTTTTTTTAAGATTTTATTTATTTATTTGAGAGAGAGAGAATGAGAGAGAGCAAGCACATGAGAGGGGGGAGGGTCAGAGGGAGAAGCAGACTCCCTGCCGAGCAGGGAGCCCGATGCGGGACTCCATCCAGGGACTCCAGGATCATGACCTGAGCCGAAGGCAGTCGCTTAACCAACTGAGCCACCCAGGCGCCCTACTTATAATTTTTTTTTATTTTAAAATAAACTCTACACCTAATGTGGGGCTCAAACTCACAACCCTGAGATTGAGTCACATGCTCCACCGACTGAGCCAGCCAGATGCCCCTCTACTTTATAATGCTTACCATTAATTCTATTTATAATTCTTAAATTTCATCAATTTTTCTTCCCTTTAAACAAATATACATTCTAAAATGTTTGACTAATTTGGAGACTTATTAAAAAAATCAAATACACTATAAGATGAAAATAAAGTCTTAGCCAGCTGCAAAGATATGAAATAGTTAAAGCCTAATTATCTACCTAGCTTACTTCAAATACTGTAGTTGTAAAACCCAGGACTTATTTTGGGAATCTCACATAGTCATTAGCATTTCATTTTTTTTTTAAAGATTTATTTATTTGTCAGAGAGAGTGGGTGCGTGAGCGAGCATGAACAGGGGGAGTTGCAGGCAGAGGGAGAAGCAGGCTCCCCGCCCAGCAAGGAGCTCAACGCAGGACTTGATCCCAGGACCCTGGGATCATGACCCCAGCCAAAGGTAGATGCTTAACCAACTGAGCCACCCTGGCGTCCTGTCATTAGCATTTCAAATTTTAATTACAATGTAAATGGAAAAAATGCTGGAAGCAAAATTGTTTATACTCTCCGATCTGTCATATATTTAAAAATGCATATATGGGGACGCCTGGGTAGGGCAGTTGGTAATCATCTGACTCTTGATTTCAGTTCAGGTCATGATCTCAGGGAGGTGAGATCAAGCCCCACTACTCGCTCTGTATAGAGGATTCTCTCTCCCCCTCTCCCTCTGCCCCTTCTCCTGCTCGCACACGTGCATGCACTCTAATAAACCTTTTTTTTTTTTTTTAAGATTTTATTTAATTATTTGTCAGAGAGAGTGAGCACAAGCAGGGGGAGTGGCAGGCAGAGGGAGAAACAGGCTCCCTGCTGAGCAAGGAGCCAGACTTGGGGCTCGATCCCAGGACCCTGAGATCATGACCTGAACTGAAGGCAGACACTTGAACCAACTGAGCCATCCAGGCACCCCCTGGGTGCTTGTTAAAAATACAGAACCCCAGGCCCTACCACAGACTTATAACAATCTTCAGAGACTCTTAACTATAGAAAACAAACTGAGGGTTGCTAGAGGGGAGGTGGGTGGGGGGATGGAGTAAATGGGTAATGGACATTAAGGAGGGCAAGTGATATAATGATGTAATGAGCACTGGGTGCTATACGCAACTGATGAATAACTGAACTCTACCTCTGAAACTAATGATATACTGTATGTTAATTGAATTCAAATAAAATAAAAATTTTAAAAATCTTCAGGGAAAAAGCCTTAAAAACTGTGTTTGGGAACCCTAGCCTAGATTTTCAGGGTTGCTTTGTCTTTATATTCTGTCAAAACTTCATCTCAATTGTTAATATTTTTTTATTTTTTAAAAATATTTTATTTATTTGACAGAGAGAGACACAGCGAGAGAGGGAACACAAGCAGGGGGAGTGGGAGAGGGAGAAGCAGGCTTCCCGCCGAGCAGGGAGCCCGATGTGGGGCTCGATCCCAGGACCCTGGGATCATGACCTGAGCCGAAGGCAGACGCTTAGTGACTGAGCCACCCAGGCGCCCCTAAAATTGTAACTTTTATTAATAACAAACATTCTTATATATTTACTGCTTTTGTTTTTGGATTCTTTTTAGGTACACCTTACGTACAATGAAATGCAGATTTTAAGTATATAGTTTGAAGACTTTTGAAAAATACACAGATTACATCCCTGTGATCATAACCACAATCATCTGCAGGAGTTCCTCCTTTACTTTCACATTTCTACTTCTTTATTTTCCACCTCTTCTGTAAATTCTCTCTTGTATGCCTTATTAAAGCTTGTAGCCATTCACATATTGCCTTAATGGCCACAATCCAATCTATCATTTGTCTTCTTCATTCTTTTAGAAACTGTTCTAGAATTGATCTTAGGAAAAGTGCATGAATCATAAATATGGTCACAGCAAAATGCTGGTGGTAAGATTGTGACTCCTTTATATTTCATAGTAAATTCAAAATATCAGCTGAAGTGTTCATCCCGATATTGCATCTTTCTACAGTCAGTTCTGGTATACACCTCACACCTCAATTTTTTTTTTTTCCATTTCCTGAGTTTACATAGAAAAGGAGACATAAAGAAATTATTTTGTTTGGCAGTAAGATTTGCTTCACACACATTAGGGTTTTTTTTTTAAGTCCTGTTTCTAATAACTAAGATGTATAATGGAAAAGCCAGCCAATAAAATGAAATCATCCCCCACACAAATATAAAATTTCCACTGAAAGCTAATCTGCTCTATTTCATCAATTCTAGATGCATATTTTGCATATTTTAACATTTGAAATAGGAATGCCTTGCAACTGATGACAAATTTCAGTTTAACTGAAAATGTTTTTTCTTTCTTGGTGGTACATAAAAGAAAGTATACCTTCCAAACAATTTTGCCTTCGATTTGATAAAGTATCATATTGTAAATTTAATGTTAATTACATAAAATGTACACAAGATTTTTCAGGCATATTTTCTTCTTTCTTTAAAGTTAATAATGTTAGAGAGTTTTTATTAAGGGAAAATGAAAGCAAACAACTTGTGATTCATCAACATTTAATTGAAACTAGTGAGGTCGGAGTGAAGAAATTCTCATTAGATGACATTCACTGGTTTAATCCTTATCTGGGCTGATAAACTTTGTATTCTTTTGTCAGAGACTGACTAGGTTAAACATTTGTGTCAAGGTCAAGAGAAAGACTTGGCAGGGAAAATGGATTAAGCAACATAAATACATAACATTAGAAAGATAATTTAGGGGTGCCTAGGTGGCTCAGTTGGTTCAGTGTCTGACTTTAAGCTCAGGTCATGATCCCAGGGTCCTGGGATTGAGTGTGAGCCGCTGAGTGGGGAGTCTGCTTGTCCCTCTGCACTCCCCTCCCCTTGTGCTCTCTGTCTCTCTCAAGTAAATAAAATCTAAAAAAAAAAAAAAAAAAAAGATAATTTAAAGACGCTGCCTTATTGCTGATTAATTTTCCACATATAATTACTTAGTAAAGAAGACATTCACTACTAATTTACTATACTGACTCATTTACTATAATGTATCTACCCTAGAACATTCCTAAAAAATTAGTTGTTCATCTTTTGCCAGAAAAGCGAATGTACAGAGATAAGTGGATGGATGGAGGAAGAAAAGGAAAATGACTCTACTGCAATAGCCTCCCAACTGGTGTCTTGTTTCTACCCTTTACCCTCTTCAATCTACTCCTTACAGAGCTACCAGAAGATCCCATTAAACTAAAAATCATTCCTCTGCTCAAAACCCAAGGGGTCCCCGCTTAGAGAAAAGCCAAAGTCCTACCAGGGGTCTCCCAGGCCCTACAAAATCTGTATCTGACATCATCTCTCAGGCT